TTTGGAAATTAACCCAGTAGTTTTTGAGTTTTTTTTTATATACATTCAAAAATACAAATCTTTCTTCTTTATAATACTACTATAAATACCGTTGTGTGATTCCAGAATATTTGACTATATTTTTAATTTGAATTATATTAAATATATTACCCTCAGTTTAATTCTGCGATTAATGTGAGACGTAAACAAAACCATAAATTAAAAGCTGACTAGAGATTGATATTAAAAATTGCGTGGTCATAGTTACATTATCGTAATGCGTTCACAAATTTATATAAAATGTGAACGCAGCCACACGGACGGTATATTTTTAATTCATTTTAGTAATTCTCCTTCAAGGGGTCACATTCCAAAAGTTATTACTGAGGTTGTTAGAAGGACGCACAAAATAAAAGATCATCTTTTCACCCTTTGCTCAACCTTTCTCTTTAAAATTCGAAGTTGTAAAACATTTCGCAAATTATTACCAATTACACATTCCACAGTTTGAGAGGCATTATATTTGGAAACCGGGCTTTATGACTCACCCGGATAATTAACTTTAACACTAATGGCCAACTCTCGGAGCAAACCATTATACCTCAAAACTTTGCTTGCAAAAAAAACAAGAAAATCTCAAACGTGCTTTTATTAAGCGCCAATAGCCTAATGGTTTGAGGTACGGACTACCGATCTTGCCGTCGAGGGTTCGATCCCGCAATTCGAGTATTTTCGTGAACCATATCCTAGCAAGCCTAGAGCTTAGTTGATGTCGTTAAAGGAAATATTAGAAATTAACAAAACTATAAAGCGTAATCACACACTTCTTTGTTGCCTAAGATGTCAGCAATTACAGCATTATTTTGAATAATTAGTCACGCTTTAGGCTATATATTTTCACGCCATTAAACTTAGGGGGTAAATATTTTGGATAAAACCCCTAATTTGGGAAAGAGACCATAAGTTAAGTGACTATACATGTCTTTTTGGGAATAAAAGTCTTTAAACATTAAGTTGCTGCCAACATCAAGGAAGCAAAATTGCCATTGTTTGTCATCATGTCATGTCTGTCATTTTGATATTTACAATTGAATTTGATAAATGTAATCAATAAAACAATTTTCATAATTTCATGCGGATAAAGCCGCACGGGAACAGCTAGTACTTTATATAAAAATGTATAATATTGGTATGTTTGGTTTGACAAGGATTACTATAACATTCTTTATGATGTATGTTGTTGATAAAATTAATTATAAATACGGAAAACAACTTCTCATTCATCGCAAACATGTTTTACTCAAAGCTAATTACCAGTTCAATGGTATTTAATGACACCATGGCATTTCATGACAAAATGGCGATCGAACAATCTTGTTTACTTCAGCAATAATTGTTGTTTGTGAAAAATATGTAATCAACTTTCGAATTCCTGCATCGAACAAAAACAACTCAAATGAGATGAAAAAATGCAATGTGTTTACGTTTTATAAGGTCTCGAAATGGCTTAAAAATCCGACTCGAAGGACAACTAAACATTGTTTTTAGATATTATAAAAAGTGTCCTAAAAGAGCAGCGCGTCTTAGCCACGCGAACCTTGGACCGCATCAAATATTATCTTAACTGTTTACAAGCATGCTAAATCGCGACAAAGCCCCCTGTTAAGTTAAATAAAAAACGTGCAAAAAGATAATGTTGGAAAGAAAATAAGCTTTCGGGATAATACGAATAGGACCAGTAATTTCCAAAGTGGTCGAGGGCCTATAGAAGGGGTGTACGGAAGATCCATCCGGTCCACGATATTGGTAACTAATGTTGAAAGGTCACAATTTGCAGAAGTAATGCAACATCGGGAGGTATTTCAAATTACTTAAAGTAGTCTTCATAAAGCAAATTATTGTGAAACAATTTGCGAATCTCTTTAACGACTTCCCAAAAGAAAGAGGTACTCAATTCGTCTGTGTTTTTTTATATAAGACACGTATTCGATTAAGGACATTAAAATAAAACAAGAAATACGACAATAATTCAAACATTATATTCAAATAAAACTAATTACATCGATTAATACATTAACAGCGTAACAGAGTATTTATAAAACATCTTGCGACACGATTCTCATACAACAAATTGTTTTTACAGCTTTGTTTTATCATACAAAGTAAGATATGTATGGATACTATTCGAACACAATAACATGAAACCCAAGTTCAACTAACTTGCTAATAAATTCTTATCTTCTTTGAATCCGAAGAATTTTCATCATTAACAAACTGCATTTTAGTTTTGCTAAAAATTCTAAATTCCAAATTATTTCCGGATAATATTCTTTTCTCAAATAATAATATAAAACCATAGATTTCGAGGAACTTATTCCTTGAATGAACATCAAATATACACTTTCTTATGCCCTGTAAACTCTTACTTAGTTCCTTGTGACGTCTTCAGTTATCATTTTATTGTGCACACATAGTATTATCGTTTAGTTTTGCTTTAAAAGCAGTCTGGGGTAGCACAAAAATTTGCGAGAACGCATCCATAATGTCATCGTCAAAATTTAAATTAGATTTATACGTATTTATCGGATATAAAGTACAGACAAACCTTGTAGATGACGTTACGAATAATTTCACAGGAATTTTCGAGCTAGGCCCTCAGTCTGTAGGCTAGGTCGAAATATCAGTCCTAACTGGCAACACCACAAATCTTATATGAAGATTTTTAAGTAAAATAAAATATTTTAATAAATTCGTATAAGCTATTGGTACAAAGGTAACAATAATGGAAGATTAGGTATGGGAATAAAACTGGTATTTGATTATAAAAGCACCAATTGACACAGGCTTGTGGTGAATTAACAGAACAAATATTATAAAACTTACGGCGGAATACTAAAACGAATCTTACAATACTTCACTTCGTAAACGCCACTTATGTGGAATTTAAATTTTAGGCATGGTGTCATTCAGGACGCTGTTGCATATTAAAATTTCGTTTCGGTATTCGACCGTTAGTAACTCTTTGAACTTATTTAAGCATAGAGTGAAATTGTAATTATGTTTTGGATAAGTAGTATTTATTCAATTTACAATTATAAAATCTAATATTATTTATAAATGAATTTAATTACAAAATGTATATAACCGGGATGGCGTTCAGTTTTATTTACGGTTGGTATCATAACAGATATGTAGTTTTAACCAATCTAAGCGGTTTCTATTAATTCGGAATATAGAGCTTTAGAATGTTTTATAATATTTGTTGTTAATTATATTTAAATACTAACACACGTGTATACGCTAACAATTGTAACAGCTAATCGATACTAAAGAATACGAGCCTTTAATAAGCGTATGTTATACCATAGACAACAATTTTTTATCAATTTATATATTTGATAGTATCGTGATAACTTAAAAACTTAGAGCCACACTTCTCGCCAGAATCGCGCGCTATATCCAATACGTCAAATGACATTGACAGCTGTCAGGGACGTGACGTTTATGCCGATAAATCAGTGTTGCAACAATTACTCCACAGTACTGATTTCTTAACACAATGTATCGATTAATACACAACAATAACAATACATTAATGGTAAATTCATCATGATTTGAACTGATTTTTTTTTTCAATTTAGTAAAAAAAAATTCGTTGAAGTTAAAGGCATATATGGTAATATATCGTTCAAATGGCAAGTGAGACAAAATCGATCATAAATCTAAACACATAGAAATAAAACGTTAAAAAAATATATATTACTCGCTAATTTAAAATGAGATTCTTTAAACATTTTTAGTAACGCAATATCAAATTAAATGCGAAGCATTTTGGAATGAATAGAAAAGTTTTGTTCACACCAAACTGACTTGAAAAGTATATGGTCATCTATTTTTTTTTAATCCTAATTTTTAAACAAAAGAAGTTTACGCTCATATGGTATAAGTAGATTGACCAAGTATGGAATTTGATTCCTTTCATATTGTACAGTCATGGATGTTCGTGGTGTTTTACTTATAGAAAAGTTGTCTCATTCCTTGCAACAAAATATACTCCGTCTTTTACAAATATCCAATTATGTAGCAGTGAATTTTGTAAATTATACGATAATATGAAAAGAAATTAGTCGTGTACCACAGCCCTTATTTCGTACCAACACATTTAAATGCTGCGTCCTATCGGTTATTATTCTGAGGGAACACCGACAGATTCCCCGACTGTACTTTGATAAAACGTGACTCAATTAATAGGGTTTTATATATTCAACTAAATAAAAAAAATGAACTTAAAATTAATTAAAAATAGTCAATAAAGTTTAACAAATTAGGTTATTTTTTATAATCAATGACATGGTAAATGACCTATTAATTGCGTTTTTAATTTTAACACATAAGGATTCTATTGTTGTGTTTGTATTTACAAATTTACAACGAAATTTTTAAAAAAGAAAAATATAAAAAAAAGAATCAAGTTGCTAGTATTTTACTGCCACAAAACGTAAACAAAAATCATCATATTCAAATTTTAGTGTTATTTTTTTGACAACATTTTTTTTATTTTCAGTTTAGTGTGAACTTAACTTTTAGAACATTAACGTAGGAATGTTTAACATCCTCATAGGAATAAGTAAATTAACTAGATTAATAAGATAATCTACTATTACACTATTTTATATAATAAAACACTTAGTAGTAAGTTATTTCAGTCACATTAAAAACCTTTTAAAGATAACTAACGATTTTTAAAGAAGGTAAAATGGATTTTTTTAATCTTATTTCTGTCAACTAAATTGAACATCAAATTTAGCCCAAATAATTCTTACAAATAAGAATATTTTAGTATTTTAAAAACCCATAGCATATTATTTTTTTTTTGTGTTTAACATATTTTAACGACGAGAAAATTGTTAGTGAAATTTAATTAAGGTCGATAGAAATATCACAATATAAAATATTCTGTTGCAATATAAAGAGAAAAGATGTATTTTTGTATGTATTGAAATAACTCAAAAACTACCGGACCGTTAGAAAGGTAACTTGTCTGAGTATCATAAGTTGTGTTTTTTATTATTTTTTTCAATTTCACGCGGTCGAAGTCGCTAACAGCTAGTAGGACATAACAAGCTTGTCATTATATCACGGTTTAAGATAACATAATTAGGAAGTTTTATAAACAATTAACGTTTTTTAAAGCAAACGTCGATGTTTCAATACATATATCACTATCTCATAAACTAATTTTTAACATAATTCATGTTTCTTACTTTTATATCATATATCTGACAATAAATGTCAGTTAACATTAATATATGTACATTTGATTGTGCAGAACTAACCCTTAATTCGTTTAGTTTTAAAATCAAAATTAGTACTTTTCTCTACACTTCAGTAGATTTTTTTTTATTATTAGTTCGTCACACGCGACACTATTGAATTAAGGGTTAACAGATTGACGGCAATCGGAACTCATTATGTTAGTTTCACACGAGGACACAATATATACACAATCCAGTACTGCAATTGAATGTAACAGTATTGTTTTGAAATTAAATTTACTCCAATCTAGATGTCTATGGGAGACGATCATAAAAAGGATATTTCCCCTTCCTAGTTTCCACCGTCAAATCCATTTTCCATTTCCAATCCTTTCCTTATTAGTATAAAGTGGAAAGGGAAAGGAACCTTCACTACCCTCGTGGATAATCTTTACCAGTTATTTTAATTTTCTTAAGTAACCCGTCAAAGTTCAGCGTAATCTACACCAATATTAAAATCTTTGGTATACTACAAAAGCATATACAAGCAAATATGATTATATTTATATGGCCTTAAATATTTAAATATCATATTGATAAAAATTATAAATTTTCAAGAGACGTATAAAATTGATATTGGAATAGACGTAAATTTGGCATAATACACAAAGCCTCCAAAGTTTTAGAGATCGCGATAAAATAATTTTTAAAAATTTCATATAAAATTGATTAAAAAAGATACAGATCTTGTGTCATGTTGATAATTTCTATACGAATGGCACATTTTTAGCCTTCTTGTTTTTGTTACTTCCATATTTTAGGAGAATTAAAGTGTTAGAGAAATTAATATGAAACAAAACTATTGAAAATTATTCTAAGAGTAACTTTGAACAACATTTATCAATTCCTCATACAGTATTTAAATCTATTGCTTTCAGAAGATTCATGTTAAATTATGATTTTTAATAGAAAAATATTGTATTCTTAATAGATAGGAATTCCGAAACAAAACCGGGATATATACAACTGGAAGTTAACACTTTCAATGCTACTATATGAAGAGTATATTTTCATATCAAAATTATAGTAGCATTCAAAGTGTTGACTGTGAGTTACATATTTTTCAACTGTACAGTTCGACAGTTACAACTGTGTAGTCAAAATTTTCACAGTTAAATATTACAGTAAGTGCCGAAGTCGATTTGTTCAGTTAAAACTGTCAAGTAAAATTGATTGTAGGTAGCGGACTTAAATTACAAAATTTAAACATAATTTCTGTCAATCCCTTTTAGAATTAATTGATTATGAACGATTATTCAATATATCCATTTCTAAACTTGATATATTAATAACACTGATCAGTTTTCATTATTATGTAAACCGTTAATTCATTTTTTTTATTATTTTCACGGGAATCACATTTTTACTTTTTACATACTTAAAAGCAATATATCAATACAATATAACGAGAATACGGCACTTATCTTTAAAAAAGGTAGACAGTAAATATGCGAAGTTTTTATACACGACTGGATAAATTTCATTCGCACCACAAATATCTCCAGCGACGGAGATAATCCGGTCATCATTCGCTGCTCTGTTCACCTGAAAAATATACATCATTCTAGTTAAAAAAATATTAAAAAAAAAAACAAAACATCTTTTAGTAAAATCGACCAAAAAGAACTATATTTAGGAAAAACTAAAGAGAAAAAACTCATTGACTCGAACATTACTTCAAATAGTCTTAAATATAGTGAAACCATCATTTATTTCAACAATAACTGCTAGCGACTTCGTCGGCGTAAATAATAAAAAATAGCCTATGTTTCTCACTGATAACGTAGCTTTTTAATGGCGAAAGAATTTTTGGAATCGACGCAGTAGTTTTAGAGTTATTTCAATACATAAAAAATAAAAATCTTTATAACGTAAGTATAGATATGAAAATAAATCGGATAAATCACGACATTATAATTTAACATTTGATATTAGTAAAAAGTAAAGACTATTCAAATATCTCGGCGGCTCGAGGTGTTGTGGATAATTTCCAACCGTCACCCCGCTTTATCTCCAAACAGTTTCATCCGTCCCACCTTTTAGTTCCACTATCACTAATAAGGTTACATATGAAATTGTAAAAAATAAGTTCCAACAGTCCCCTCGTCGCAAAAGGTGGTACCGATGGAACTGTTTTTTTCCCACGTGGGGTCACAGCGGGGTGACAGTTGGGAATAAACCGGTATTGTACGTTTCTACCCCGCACGCCGCACACCTACGTTCTACGCTATTTGTACTATATTTGAAAACTTTTATAATTTCAACTAGATAGGTGGTGGGTGGAGGTAAAGGTGGAAGGTGGGAGGTGATTACCGTCGTTGTTGTTGTGCCTGCGCACGAGGCGCTCGGGGTGCGAGTGCGCGAGCTGCGTGTAGTCGCGGAACACCTCGTTGTAAGTATCATCATTTGAAGACATCTCGTTCTCACGCATTTCTTCATTTAACTTTGTTAGGCGTAACCTGAAAATAGTTAAAAAAAAATCTAGTTAATAATATAGTTAACACGCCGGACACAAGTGTACGTCTCTTTCTGACGTGCCAAGTGAAATACGGGTTAAAAGCTTGAGTTGGCACATCGGAAAATAGAACAGAGTAAGTTTCTATTGGATGTGCCAAATCAAATACTGGTTACACATTTGAGTTGGCACATCTGGAATAGGGGCACTATAGTTTCCGACGTGTCAAATCAAATTTATTTTTATACGTTTGAGCTTTCGCCCGCGACTCTGTCCGAGAGTTAAAAAAGTAAGTAGCCTGTGTTCTTCCAGACTATGCTTTATGTCTATGCCAAATTTTATTTATATCCTTTCAGCAGTTTAGGCAACAAACTATAACATACATTCATCTAAACTTTCACATTTACAATATTAGTAAAATTTTAGCAATTTATTTTTTTTTTCAACAAGTTTGGCTTAATATATGTAAATTAGATTGTCGATAGACTCACAATGTGACAATATCAGCATTGGCGTGTTCGACAGCGATGTCGAGCGGCGTGCGGCCCTCCTTGTTCGTTATGGACTGGTCGGCGCGGTATCGCAGCAACAAGCACACCTTAAAACATTATAAAACTGGTTACTTACACAGACAAACATAAATCTAGTTGAAGCTATTCCACAATCTGACTATGAACATCGGAGATCTAATATTACTCCAGTTTCTGTTTTTTAATGTCTTTTAAATTTATTCAAAATCATTCTATAATCACTTTCTAATAAATTCTAATTTCAATCCACTTCCTGTTCCAATCTTATAGGAAACGTACCCGCAGTGTATTGTACCAAATACCAGGTGTAGTATTTGCGTTGCTACGAAAATCGAGTTGAAATTTTTTGTATCTGTTTGTTACGGGTAATCTCCGAAACGGGTGGACCAAATTTAACGGGACTTTGACTGAAATGTAGCTGATGTACGCGGGAATGTTATAGACATATTTTTTTTAAGGTAGCGAAATTTACCGTAAGTATAGGGTAATTTTTACCTGTCCAGTATGCCCGGCCTGTGTGGCGAGGTGCAGCGGCGTGTTGCCGTCCTCATCTTGCGCGTTCAGCTTACTGCCGTTCAGCAGTAAAAAGGAGCACGCCATCACTGAACCCTGGAAATGATAATATAACCTATATTAGTATAATATCATGAATAACATGACAATAGCCGTTCAGTGTACAATATGAAATTGACATTTAGCCGGTTTCAAATTTTACCTTGAGATTGTTCCATTGCAAATGTTATACATACAAAATATTTTTTTTTCAATTCCTACTGTTTAATAGAATTAGACCCATTTGCAGTTGCCAGATTTTTCTGAAATTTGGTACACACTTTAAATTCTAAAGACAATTCCATTTTTATATTCGACGTCAGTGCAAATACAAGATGGCCGCTGTTACAAAATGGTGGAAGACAAAATGTATTAAAGGTAGGAATTGACTTGAAAATATTTTTAGACAATAACTTGAGCGATAAGTGGATAAAAAGATACAAAATGAATACCAGTATAGTAGTAGTGGTATAGTAGTAGTGGTATAGTGACACGGTGTAGTGTAGCGTATTGTAACGATAGTGCAGTGTAGTTTAGTATAGTGTAGTAAAATGCAGTGTAGTACAGTTCAGTTCAGTGTAGTCTAGTGAACTGACGTGCCGGTGTAGTGCAGTGTAGCATAGCGTAGTATAGTTTAGTGTAGCTTCGTATATTGTAATGCAGTGCAGCGTAGTATAGTGAAGTGGTGTAGTGTAGTGTAGCGTAGTATATTTTAGCGTAACGTAGTATGGCATAGTTAAGCGTAGTGTAATATAATGACGTGGCGATGTAAAGCGTAGTGTAGTGTAGTGTAGTGTAGTGTAGTACAATGCAGTGCACGCATTGTTACTGACACTGAGCACGGCGGCGTGCAGCGGCTGTCGGCGGCGCGCGGCGGCGGCGGCGGGCGAGGCGCCGGCGGCGAGCGCGGCGCGCATCACGCACACATTGTGCGCGTGCGCCGCGCGGCACAGCACTGCCCCCGCGGACAGCCTCGACACCTCCTCCGTCTCTGCACAGCAACACACCGCACACTACTCACAACGTTCCATACCACAGCCGTTCCTAACGTATGATATACACTTGGCTAGTACAATTACACTTTACCGCTCATGAAATGGTATAATGTAACACCAAATGGCACCAGTGAGTTCATACAATCATATTGTGCATAGCATATTGTGATCACTAACTGGCGTCAGTGAGTCCTTACAATCCATACAATTATTGATTACTAGCTGTTGCTCGCGACTTCGCTCGCGTGAAATTAAAAAAAAATATAGTCCTTGTCACTCACAGATAAATTAACTTTCTAACAGCGAAAGAATCCAAAAAATCAGCGCAGTAGTTTTTGAGTTATTGCAATACATACAAAAATACAAATCTTCCTCTTTATAACAGTATGGGTTAATATTAAAGAAGTGTATTTGCTTTATTACATTATTATATAAACGAGTGTTACCAAGTTCATCTGTGTCCTCGCCCTCCGTGGAGTCGTGGTCGGAGGGCAGGCTGAGGTGGAGGTCCCTGTCGCCCTCCGCCAGCTCGCTGCCGATCAGCAGCACCGGGCTGCCCTCGCTCTTGCTGCCACTCTCTGATGCTGCACAGAAACAAACACATAGGTATGAATCGGTACTTATTAAGCTTTAGTACTTTAACCATATCTTCAAGTGGGAATGTAGGCAAGAGCTTGTATATATAAAAAACCCCTTAGCTAAGGGCTTCGTCAAGCGATCTCCTATAGTCAAATCTTAGTAACATTATGAATTGCCATAGCTTACAAGCGAACATTCAAGTATATTTAAGTGCGGCAGATTTTTTTTTTATTTATAATAAATCTCACCACTGGTGTTGCTGTTGACGTCACTTTTCTCATCCGCAATAGTTTCAGGAACCTGCGGCTGCGCGCGCACTCTGCTGATTACATAAATATTTTACAGAAGGAAATAAACATTATTCTAATAGAAATAGGGTCTAATATCATATAATGCGAAAGCCGAATTCTCAAACAAACCTTGAATAATTGGTTTGTAAGCTCTGCTTACTATTTTACAGATGTTAAATTGTTAATAGAATCTGTAGTTTAACGGTGTTACACATTTTAAGATTCGGCCGTAGGACCTATAATTTATCACGTATTTGTATTACTATGACAAATTTTCGACCTAATCATAGTAAGATTTAAATGAAATTCTACTAAATATGTAACGAAATAACAATTGATTGATTTCTCGTACCTCTAGTGTACCTAGGGTATAGTACGCAGGGAACAATACACTTGGTACAGTACGCGGTTTACAATACGTGGTGTACAGTACGAGGAGTATAGTAAGGTACGGAGTGCCGTACAGGTACAGTGCAACGTACAAGTACGTTGTACCGCACAGGTACGGTGTACCGCACTAGTACGGTGTACAGCACAGGTACGGTGTACCGTACAGGTGCGGTGTACCGTACAGGCACGGTGTACTGAAAAGTGCAGTACAGTACACCGAAGATTATTCTGGAGGTTGTAAGATATTCTGAAGGAGCAAATATAGTACAGTACCTGCGCCTAGCACGACGCACGGACCAGCGACGGGCGGCGGGGGCGGGGGCAGCGGGGGCGGCCACGTCGCGCACGAACGACAGCGACACATACTTAGCGCGGATCCACGCCTCGCGAACTGACCTGGTACACCGGTATTATCTTACTCATCATCACCAGCTCTACGTCCCCACTGTGTAACAGTGGTAGTGCCCGCTTTAACATCTTAGCACTGCAGGGCCGGTACGCCCGGTGTAATACCACGACCACACAGAAGACAGACGTGAAATGGAAGCAATTCCGTATTTCGTCTGATGAGTGTGGTGCCGGAGGCCTAATTTTAGTCCCTTTCTTTTTACCACCCTTTTCTTATAAGCAGAGGAAGGGAAGAGGAGGTCGATTTGACGGTGGAGGAGATGCATAGGAAGGGGAAATATCCTCTTTATGTGCGTCTCCTCCTCCGTCGGATAAGATAGGGCAACGCATGTGCAATTACGGGATGTCTATGGGCAGCGGTCGCTTCGCCATTTTGGCGAATATATTATGTTATAAAAAAAGAGAGGGGGCGAAACCTTCCCTTACTTAGGGGTGAGGCCATACTCAAATGACTTACTAATCTTACTAATTATAAATGTGAATTTCTAGATAAATGAATTGTTGTTTGTAGCCTAAACTACTGAACAAATCGCGAAGAAAGGCATAGCTGTAGAGATTAATCTGATAGAACACATTGGTTAATCACTTTTGTTTTTTTAATTTCATAAGCGTGACGTAAGTGTAAGGACTTTTTATAAAAAGACGATTATTCAAAAATATGCTGTAATTGCTGACATCTTAGGCAACACGGAAGTGTGTGTTTACGCTTTATTATAATAGTATAGATAAAAAGTAATATTTTCTCTTACGTTTCACAGTTAGGCGTAGGTCTGGTGAGGTCGGTGCCTTCAGTATTCGCCTCGTAGATTAAATTCACTATTTTATTACCCAGCTCCGCCATCACCTGTAAATATTTATAATTTTTTGGATCAAACACTTATCTAACCATATAAAAACCTGAATAAACTTATATTCTTAATAGACTTTAAAGTAATATTTAAAATAAAGAAATTTTATATGACTTAAGTTAGATTGCTAATAAAGTAATAAAAAATACCTTAATAATATCAGGTTCCCAGTCGTCTAGAGTGAGAGAGCGAACTTTGCTGACGTGTACCCCCAACGAGCGGTGCACGCCAGAACATGCTGGAAATATATCATTTACTACTATATCATACTAATATTATAAATCAGAAAGTTTAGATGGATGGATGTTTGTCAGACTTTGTAGCCTTAACAGCTGAAGGGATCTCGATGAAATTTTGTATAGATTGTTTTTTTTTCCATTCCGCGCGGACGGCGTCGCGTGCGTAAGCTAGTGGTAAAAAAATTTAAAATCTGTCTAGTAGTTATTGAATTATTTCAATACGTACAAAAATACAAATCTTTCCTCTTTATAATTCAGAGTTGAGTTTTACCAATTTCAAAAACATAGATAAAATGAAGAAAAAAAAAGAAACTCCTTTAATAATATGTTGAATCTGTAAATATATACAGACCTATGCAAAGTGTAATGCCGAGGTTAATGCTGGCCCAGCGCGGGTTGGCGCCGCCGCAGTCGCAGCAGTAGTTGTTGCCGGGAATATTCAGCAACTGCTCCCATATCCTGAAAAACACATAAAACACAATTTAAATATTTGCATTTGAAACTGTTTTTCTTGTAAAAGGTAAGAAATATCGCGAAGCAAACGCTTGATATCTGCATTTACAGATGCGTTTTCCCCTTCCAATACGTCTCTTCCACCGTGAAATTCACTTTCCCATCCAGTCCTTTCCCTTTAAGAAAAGGGTAGAATGGGAAAGTGACTAAAATTGGGCCTCCGGCACCACTCTCGTCAGGTTATATGCGGAATTACTCCCCCTTGACGCCTGTCTTCTGTGTGGTGGTGGTATGTCTGGGGGCGAGCCGAGCCGGCAGTGCGAAGATGTTAAAGCGGGCTCTGTCACTATTAAAGTGTTCCTAAGTTTAACTTTATATCTTACTTCTTACTATAATATGATAAATGCGAAAGTTTAGATGGATGGATGTTTGTTAGAGTTTGTAGCCTAAACGGCTGAACGGATTTCAATAAAATTTGGCATAGATGTAGAGGATAGTCTAGAAGAACATATAGGCTAACTGCATTTGTTTTTTTTTTAATTCCGCGCGGACGGAGTCGCGAGCGAAAACTAGTAGTTTATATAGTCAGGTAGGTAGGTGGGTGTTACCTGACTTTCTTCATCCTGTCGTTGCGGTGGTCGGTGTCGGGCACCAGCACGAGCTGCGTGTCGGGCGGGTCGCGGCCGCGGCCCTGCTGTATGGCGGAGCGGATGCCGCTCTGCAGCGCCGCCATCCACGAGCTCACCATCTCCTCCGAGTCCGCTTGCAGCATGTGGCTCCTAACATACAGAGATACCGACATACCGACCACGAAATATATAGACTAGATACAACGAACATTCTTCCATCGGTAACTTCTTTAAAAGGTATTATGTTAATTAACTTTAGTACGAATTACTCTTTAAGTTTCGTGAAAATCAATAAAATATGAACGTCTGTCAGTTTGTTACAAAAACAATAAAGGCACTATAAAGTACCTAAATTCAGAGCTTTGAAAATAATGAGCTGTTCAAAAATGAAATTTATAAATGTAGGAAAATCACATGCTGTAACAGAAAATCTAAATTATTTTGAAGTAAAAACAATTAATTTTGTTTAAACATTTTTAATTACAAAAAAACGCCAATCACGTAGAATTTATAGTAATTCTTTTTATATCTGAAAATCTTAAAACTACAATTCAAGTATTAAACTCACTTGGAAGGCGATAAAACTTCGAAACAGAACCTCCTCTCGCCGTCCAACACTGGCTTCACCGTACACAATCGTAAATCCTCTTCCATCACTGTTACATTTAATTCACCAGTTCTTTTCCTGTAAAAAAAACAATTTCAATCATTACCTTACACTTATTCACCAATTTTTCGTCCTCCAGGTTAATCTATCGTCATCTCTGTCCCTCCCTTTACAGAATACATCTATCTCTTTCCAAACCTATCTCTACATATGTAGGTCTCCTCGTCAAAAACATAAACGCATTAACGCTTTTTAAAAGAGAAAAGATTTGTATTTTTGTAGGCATTGAAATAACTAAAAAACAACTGTGCTGTATTCAAAAATTCTTTCATTGTTAAAAAGCTTTGACTGAGTAACATAAGCTATATTTCTATTTTTAAATTCCACGCGGACGAAGTCGCGAGCAACAGCTAGTGCTGTATAGACATTTGTGTCCAGTAATCAAAAGATAATCAAATAAAAACGCTAATTCAGGTCATACGTTAACACAATTAGCATCGTCACCAATCTAAGGTTTCTAGGTGAACGTACGATCGTATCAAAATGTGTACAGAAAACCTAGATAATATTTCATAACCAAATAGACCGTGGCCGCTTCTAATTCGGCCTTCACGACACAAACTTACCTATAGACCAATCGATTGTCGTACAAATAAAACCATCTTCTGTTCCAAGTTTTGAATGCATTGGAAGTCCTTTTAAAGAGGTAACCTTGCATCCTTGGTAAGTTTTTTAGACAAGGCGTAGTCAATAGACCGTCTTTGCAGTCAGTCTCATTTGCATGGTCTTTGCAACTTGGCAGGACTGTATCCTGGCTGTTGACTATAGTATGTCGGTTTTCCATTTCTTTATCCAAGGCTTTTGTATCACTACGCATTGTCGTCACCTGAAAATATAATTGATATAAGAGTCGGTGTAAACTGCCGAAGGCCGCATTTAAAGTCATTTGTTTTCTAAATAAAACACAGAAGTGTATGGCCTTATAAGTGTCAAGGCAATTGGAATTCAACAAAAATAAAGTTTCAAATAAAGTCTACTCTTTTCAAAACATTGAAGGTCACGGGTTCAAATTTAAAAGTAAATTTATACTTTAAATGTTTTTTACGTAAAAAATCAAAAGTAATTCTTGCGTTTTAAACATCGATCTCTTGATGAAATTAGTCAGAGTTATTTAAAGAAATGAATACCTCATCCGCTGTTGATTTGAGAAATGGTTCCAAATCTTCGGATAAATCAGCTCCTTGATGATAATAAGTGCAGCAAGCTTGCATATACGACAGAAACTGAAAACATTATGTTATTGTTTTATCTATTGCTTTCTGACTATATTTTTTCTGTCGGACGTGATAACAAAAATTACTTTTAAAGTTGTGTAAATATTGTTTTAAAAGTATGATTATTTGCAAAATATACAATACCAGGCATTGCGATAATCAGAAAATATTTTTGTTTTATTGATATTGTCCCTATTTAGATTAAAGCGATTTATTTTATTATAACGCACAATATATAGATGTTTAGTTATTCTTGAGATAAACACGATCAAACACTTTAGTTTTATTAAAGTAGAAATATAAGCCCGTAATCCATACTAATATTATAAAGAAGAAAGATTTGTTTTTTCGTATGTATTGAAATAACTTTAAAAACTACTAAGTCTATTTCAAAAATTCTTTAACCATTAGAAAACTAAATTATAGGTGAGTAAAACAGGCTATATTTGTTTTTTTTTTATCACAGGAACGAAGTCGCGAGCAACAGCTAGTAGAAAATAATTAAATAAAGCACCAACCTAAAACACAGGTCTGCTTATTACTAATTTAAGTTACACTCCTTTACAGGACATTAAACATATCAAAAACCACAATTTGTAGTGAAATTATTAATAAATTACCTTACACTAAATGTAACAAAAAACGCGACTACACATATTTGTTTTAAATGCTTTAAAAATGACTCAACACTGCAACTAAACGGATAAACATAACCGTTGCGTCAAGACGACTGTCTCATCTAGACAGCAACCTTGCGAACTGAGTAGGCGTGGCAAACACTAACAAGAAGGCTTACCAATGACTAAGCTCAGTTATTGATAACGTATCATATGCCGTATTTAATTTACAACGTTATATAGATTATATATCTTTATACAAATGGAAGTGTTACAGATTTTAAGATAATTGGCATAAAATTGAATTGCAATAAACAATCTATCTGATCTTGTAATCTAATAAGAAGAGGAGACTGGACCGTTATTGATACTTTAAATCAAATAACTGGAAATAACTACCGTACTAGATCTAGGATTTAAATTCTATGGCAACAAGACAATTAGGGCCTGTCCCACTAAATTGTAAATTGTCTGATAACAATCGAACGTGTAAATTATGTGGTGGAAATATCTGATTTTGTTTCCTTATATGACAGTGACGTCATTTTTAAGCTAGTGGTAGGACAGGCCTTTAATATTACATTTAAGAGCTATAAAATGTTTCTACTTGACTCCTAGATATCAATACTTTAATGCCCAGACCCAGTTTATTTTTTTTTAACACAAATAAACCAGCGCTTGACCACGATTCCGCCTAAGCTAAGTGAAGACGCGGTCGAAGAATAGTTGCTCGCTAGCTCAATAAGTGCCGATTCACCCTGCTCTTGAAGGCGCCCACGTCATAACTGGACGGGAACACTGAAGCCGGTAACTTATTCCTTTGCTGTGCGCACGAAAAACGATGTTTTTGAAGCAATTTTTTAAATTCACACACGGAATCTACGAGAATACTTTAATGACTTGATGAATTCTTAACAGTGTTCAATTCAACATTCATTATTAAGGAAACTGCTTGAACATTATGATGGCACTATGCATGATAACCAATGCTATAAAATATGGACTTCACTAAGCATTATAATATGATATTCAGACTTATTACAAGACAAAAATACGTAAAATGACGTACTCGATGTAATACTTATCCTTGTAAGGTTTCTTAAGTATATTATCTATTTAGATCATTTCTTATTACGTCAAATCATAGAACTGCAATCTATATTCTATACTAGTCAATAAAAATAAATAAATTTTACTACTACTTTAAATTGTACGAGCGATAAACACGTACAAAGTAAACATGAAATAAAAAACAATAAAGATTCGTTTCAAAAAATACGAAGGCTATTAACAAAGGCTTGCACGAGAGATTCTCACGAACAGACAGTAACCATCGGTATTACACTGTGACGTAACCCAGTGTCATAACAAAACAATTATAAAAACTTATTGTTATTCAACACACGGTCTAATGTGAGTTTTACGAGTAATAGACGCTTGTTGCTTCGCATAAAACTATGGAAATCAATGCGTATTATAGTCATGAATGGGTCGCTTCAATCGAGGACAAACAATCCAATCTTAGATAATGAATGCTAAAGTTTAATAGCGAAGATGGATGTATTACACCACATAGATCGATATAAAATCTAGGCGTCAGCTTGTCTCTTGTATGTCCAGTTAACAGAGGGTCTATCACGAATATTTGCGAGAAAGTATTCGTAATGTCAAAATTTCGCCCAGTGAGGGCACTGCCGAAATCTGTATAACTTTTGTCGACTTAACGAATACGTGCTCATAAATATTCGTGATAGACGTTTCCGGCAACACTAAAAAATATGTTTTACACACCCCCATTGAATAACTAGGCGTGATTGATATCAACCCAGTTATGTCTCATCATCCGTTCCAACTTTCAGACTGACAATAAATATGCATATCTCACGCGAACTAATAACATACTTCTTATACGGATGTTAGTAGAAGAATCTAGACCAAATTAAAATCGATCAATTTGAAAATATTTTTATTTAAATTAATGAAATTAACTTTTCATAACTAGTGATATGTCTACCTAATTTTGTACATTTTTCAACAGTAATAAACAGTTAAAATAATAAATTATGAAATACAATATTACTACAAAAATATACGTCTAGAATTACGTGTCGACCATCATTAGTGCGTAACTAGGTTAAGTGTCCATTACAAATAATTTCGCTGTAATATAAATTGTGCGTTGTCACATGTAATTATTATAAGTTATAAAGGATAGGCCTATGTGGAGAAATTCAGAAGGAAAAGCTTGGCGTGGTATGGATATGTTATGCGACGAAACGTTGGGGGACATTAACCAGAAAGTGACAATAAACCATGCTATCTAGATCCTAAATTATTTTTTTGAAATTGTCCTTATTTATATTTAGACACAGAACCATAAATAGCTAAGACAAAGATATAATATTTAATATCCAAGTAGAAATAAAAACAAAAAGTCATATTCTGCATTCTAGTTTTGTATTGGAATAACTCAAAAACTACTGGGCCGATTTTAAAAATACTTTAACCGTTAGAAAGGTAATTTATCTGTGAATAACATAGGATATATATTTTTAATTTCAACTGCTAGTACTTAGAGTTTCAGTATTCAGCTTTTAGAGGTTTATCTTAACAGACTTACCGTTGCCAATATCTCATGTCGCTTCCTAGCTTGCAGCATTGTGATCTTCTGCACGTGGTCGAGCGCGGTGTGCCGGAAGCAGGAGCGAGTCGCGAGCAAAAGGTTAACCGTCTCCTCCACATCACTTGACTTGTTACGAGATACCTGGTAACAATAAAGTATAATAATATAAGTAGTAAATATATATCTTACTAATATTGCGCAAGATTAGATGGATGGATGGATGTTTGTTAGAGTTTGCAGACTAAAATAGTAAAAATTTGGCATAGATGTAGAGGATAGTCTCGAAGAACACACAGGTTACTCACTTTCTCTTTTTTCAATTCTACGCGAAAGGAGTCGCGGGCGAAATTAGTAGTAGTAAAGTAAGGCTGTTATTTTAGAAACCGCACGCTTAATGAGGAGTTTCTCGCTCTGGAGCTTTGACCACTGGTTGTTTGAGTCATTGGTATTTGGAGCCGATGGTGCTTTATTTTTATATATGTAAAATTTTTTATAGCAAGAAACTGTCTTATAGATTACAAGACAAGACATAAATGTAAGTAAGTTACTTCTGTTACATATCAGTTAACTTTGTTAATTTATGTATGTTAATATTGTAAAAAATTAATCTGAAACATGATAACATATATAAAACTACTAGTTTTCGCCCGCGACTCCGTCCCCGTAAAATAAATAGAATAGAAAAATAGCCTATATATTTTTGCAGAATATGTTCTACATCTATGCCAAATTTCATCGAAATCCGTTCAGCATTTTAGGCTTCAAACTCTTATAAACCATACATCCATCTAAACTTTCGCATTTGTAATTCTAGTAAGTAAGATTAGTTTGATGTTAAAGTTACTGCATCAAGATTAACCTGCATTAGATTCTTTACATTCCAATGATGTCACTTTAAATGTAATTGTTGCTTCTTGTTAAACAATAATAACAGAATTATTTATAAATAACATTATTTACATTATGATTATTAAAGATATTGTTCCTGGCTCTATATTAAATGCTAAAGTTCTTATCTTATAAAGATGAAGGTGAACATTGTGATGAAACCTGCACATATCTGGGAAGAAATTCAAATATATGAAGTCAAGCCACAATGGGCCGGTGTGGTTGACTATGGCCTAGTCACTCCTAAAGGTAGGCTCCAAGCCTCGCTGTAGGGTCATACAGATGATTATCTCATCAAAACACTATTATTTATTGACAGTAAAACTTACCTGTGAGTTTCGTATTAAAGCTATATCCAGATCATTTGAGATTTTATCAAAATGATGCTTGCTCTCTTTCACACCTTTTATGTCTCTGCAAAACAATATATTTGAAATAACATCAAGTGTACAGCTTTATTGGTTTAACTAGGTTTTAATAAGTCTGGAATGAATGCAACTTGTAGTGATACAGACATAAAAAAAAAATAATCGATTTTTTGTTATTAGCAATGTGCAAATACCATATTTGTAAGATATGTTAAGTTAGTTTTTAAATGAAATAATATATAATAGACAGTATAATTTTATTGTAAAAAATATGTAAATAAACATATGTGAGAAATATAGAGAAACATTTTACATAATTATTACAGGAACCAGGCTTCAGTAGAGAAAGGTAAATACTCTGTCTCTTTTCTATGATATGTCTCTTTTCTCTACATATGGGTATGTAATGTGATTAAATACTCACATTTTAATGAATGCTGAGAGATTCTTGAGTACAGTCCTTGATGCCTGGTCCAGCAGTATTGAGTGAAACTTGTTCATTTCTTGTAAAGCATGGATCATTCGGTTTAGTGTTGCCATAACAGGTGGATCCTCAGAGAAACTACTGCTCAAGTCCCATAGGGCATTGGTAAAAGCACTACAAAAAAGTAACCTATTTTACATTTAAACAAATTGGAAAAACTTATAATAAATCATGTGTCCCTTTAGATATAAATTATGAATTTAATTAAATTACCTAGTTATTTATTACTAACTGTTGCCTGTAATTTCATCCATGTGATATTAAAAATTATAGCCTATGTTACATAGGTTCCAAATGGTGAAAGAATTTTTAGAATTACTTTTTGTTATTTGAATACATACAAAATACAAAGCTTTCCTTTTTATTATAACAGCATAGATATAAGCTGAATATCTAGCTTAAAGATACTGTAGTAAGACATATGTAAGAGAATATACACAAGAAAAATAATATAAGGAGTAAAATTATACAAAAAAAACCTTTGTGTATGTATACTATGAATGCAACTAAAATTCACAACAAAATAATCACTAATGTATTGGAAACTAATGTAACATAAAATCGAAATATGCATTTTTTAAGGACATGTCCTAGAGTAATTCCATTTTTATATATTCAAAAACAAAATAATGAGTAATGTATCATTCAGTTTGTTATTATTAAAACAACGAAAGTAAGATAAAATTCAAACATAATAACGTTATCACAATAATAACAGATCCTGTCAGTTGTAGCTTTTTGTAACATAAATAAAATACCACATAAACTTACCTCCTATGAGTCATGTATGTTTTACCGGATTCTATCATGAAAGAGCATGTCTTGAGGACTTTATCAAGCTTATGCTCTAAACCATCAATACTAGCTTCTTCGGTCTCCAGCTGTTCCCTAAAAAAAGAATAAATAACACTTGAATATATTAAAACACAAAACACGTACAGAGTTTCACTTTCTATATGGAACTCTTGTTGAATAACTATTGATACTTACCTAAATTTTGGGGAATCTCTTAAACATTCATCAAAATCGATTAAAGGCTTCATTGTTATGATTTTAATTACAGTCAATGTGATTATATATTTTACAACATTTTCTACACGAAACAAAAAGTCTTGTCTTCGTACAACAATAAACGTAACACAGATAACTATAATCACAATTCAAAAACAATACTGATAAAAATGACAACCAATGATGCAGATTAAAAATCCGATTCACATAGCTGGTTCGTGATCTTTGACGGTTTTTTTTTTGTTGTCTTTACTTATCAGTTGTCGTTGGGTTGACAATTGTCAGTTGTCAGATGAGATTTATTTCTGAATCAAAACAAATTTACAGTTTTGTCGTGTTTGCAATTTATTATCATATTATAATTATATCATGAATAACATCTTGTGCTAACGGTCTTCTGCATAAAATATATGCGATCATTTTGTAAACTCTCTAATGTATTGGTTTGATCGATTTTGATACAATCGCCTCGAATATTGCGGATCCCAACGTTAAAGTGTTATGTAGAATTGCGATTGTAAATTAACTAAGTTACGATTCATCATTTGTTATCTAACTTAGTACGTTAATTACGATATAATGGATACGAATAATAAAATGACTCCATTTAAAAATAACCATTTTATAACACTTTTGATTAGTGTAATTGCTATTCCGCTATCCATGTCGATGTGGATTATTAATATTATCTATTCGAAATTAATAGGCCCAAACGAAGGATTAGATGGTAAGTTTGTTAATTTCTTAATACATTCAATGTACAAGTATATTTAATGTCTAAATTATTTCAGAGCCTATTGTGATATCACCGGCTAGATGGTTGGCATCATGTTTCATACCATTGTTAATATGTGTATATGGATATAAAAAAAAGACGCTGAATTTAAGTGGAACACTTTTAGCTTTTGTTGTTGGATTTGTCCTAACTTTGGCCAATTTATGTTTCTTTGCTGATTTACTTATATTTTTCTTTACATCTTCAAGAGCAACAAAAGTAAAAGGTCATTTGAAAAAGAAAATAGAAGAAGACTTTAAAGAAGGTATGCATTGCAAATTAGGGAGGAATGTTTCCTTTTTGGACTGTGTGAAGTTAGAATTTTTACAATTTCCAGGTGGTCAAAGAAATTGGATTCAAGTGCTTTGCAATGGGGGAATGGCAACTCAGTTAAGCTTGTTGTATTTATTAGATGTTGGTGCCTCAGAGAGACCAATAGATTTTATAAAAGATTATCGAGCATCATGGTTGTCTTTGGGTGTTATGGGTGAGTTATTTTCTTAAATAAACCAATACATTAGACAGTTACATACTAAGACTATTCTACTCTTCTGTTGCAGGTGTTCTTGCTTGTTGTAATGGGGATACATGGGCATCTGAGCTGGGTACAGTGTTTGGCAAAGGTGACCCTGTTCTTATAACAACTTGGAAAAGAGTACCAAAAGGAACGAATGGAGGAATAAGCCTTAATGGAACAATTTTCAGTACTCTAGGAGGCCTTGTTATTGGAATAGCACATTATTTGACTGTGTACTATTTTTCAGACTCTAGTCTTTGGTTGTATGCACCACCACAGTGGCCTATTATTTTGTTAGGTGCATATGCTGGATTTTTTGGCAGCTTAATAGATTCTATTTTAGGAGCGACTTTGCAATATTCAGGTATGATTCATTTTGAAATTATACAATATTTAATTATTTTACAAATGTTTATTTATTTTTATAATTGCAGGTGTGGACAAAAATGGCAAAATTGTATCCCATTCAAAACATGCTGTAAAACATATCAGTGGAATAAATGTTCTTGATAATCATAGTGTTAATCTCATATCAACAATTATTATGGGTATACTTTTGCCAACAGTTAGTAAAACTGTATGGCCTACGTTTTAATATTTTAAGACTGATTAATAAAGTACTTTAACATTTAGAACAAAATAAAAGGTCTTGGCATATAATTGTGAGATGAGATAGTAATTAGAGATGGTTTTTAATATGTTTTTGTTATAATAAATTATTTATCACATACTTGATTATCTTTTTGTTATCTTACTAATATTATAAATGCGAAAGTTTAGATGGATGGATGGATGTTTGTTATCGTTTGTAACCTAAACGGCTGAACGGCTCTACATGAAATTTCGTACAGGTTTAGAGCATAGCCTGGAAGAACACATAGGCTACTTTTTATCCCGGGAATAGTTACGGTTCCTGTGGGATTCATTAATTTAGTTTTTTAATGTTAAATCGATCATTCTGCAACGGTTCAACATATCTTATTGAAATTTGGCACAAATGTAAAACAAAGTCTGGAGTACACATGGGATAAGCTTCGTCCCCTAGAAGTGTCCGGGTACCGAGGGATACGTAGCTTTTTATAATTTTTATAACGTTCGTTTGTTTTCTAATACCACGCGGACGAAGTAACGGGCAACAGCTCGTATGTAATAAATTATTAATAATCGTTGGCTTTATGAGTGTGAATTGCAATGAAATCCATATTTCTTCAAAATCGAAATATTTATATAGCACAGTACACTCTATTCTATAGAAGTTGTCTATAGTAAGAACATAAGATACTTTCTGAAGTGTCTTTCAGGGATGGATTCGTAATGGTAGAATGGTAGTTATAAATCTTATGTCACAAGGTAGACGCCTTTTGCATTTTATTACAAGTGGAGACGAAACAAAAAATAAATAGTGAACATGGAATTATTTCATATTTATGAGGTGCTTTGCAGATAACGTAATTTTTTTTCTATGCGTTTGGCCAAGGTGGTTAGTTTGATTTTTTTGCAATAAATAATTTTCGGAAACATGTCTTGATCGTGATATATAATTACGAATATTTTATTGAACTTTGCTCTGTTGTTTTCTTGTGTTAATGAAATTTACTCAAGCATCGCAATGACTCGAAAATATAGTGTAAAGTAAGAATTAAAAGCTTCATTTTCGCGACCGCTTAAAAGTGGTCATTATCCCGACTCTTTTTCATTATCGATATCTAATATTTCACCGCATCTTACGTATACCCTCTCCTTTCTAACTATAAGGTTTTGTAACAACACTGCTGCGTTTCCTAAGATTTATGGGTTATTTGTGTTCTATAAAAAGTATGTTGAAGTTGTAGCAAGAAATCATAAGACTAGATGCAAGCAGCCTTTTGTTAATGTTATTTGTACTAACTCTATCTACAATACTATAATAAATGTAGAATAATACTCTATTCTTATGGATTATTATAAATTCAAGGTTTCGTATCCAGAGCTATAACAAAAAATTAGTTGTTGCCCGTACGACACAATGGTTTTTTTTTCAATCAATTCTTGTCAATTATTTTAATGAGTTTCCACTGTCATCATCACACGTTCGTCATTAAATGGGTAGGTACAACGCGATGACCTATTAAAAATAAGAAAATAAGTGTCTGATTATCGTGTACCTTATCACCTTATCTGTCGTAATTAGTTAATTAGCATTAGTAAGTAAAAAAATAGTTCCCCTATATGTTTTTCTTGATTTATTTCTTAATCGAAGCATCAAAATATTTGGATAGCTTAATCTATGAAATTCTGTTTGACAATTTGACAGATTTCAAGTTTCTAATCTGTCGAAAGCGATGACAGCTGCAACAAGGTTAATTTTCCTTTGTTTGTGTACAATTCCTTAAAAATTGTTATAAATTGTGACTCATCTATAAACACAATCGTGTTACACTGTTCATATATCGTTTTTTAAGAATAAGGAATGCGCTATTAATTTTAATTCAACATGTCATTGCCAGTAGAAGAAGATCCTATCATAAACGCTGATATTAGAGATGATGTTACAAGTAGCAGTCGTAATCTTGTTGAGGTAGAACGAGGTAAAGACCTAATTCCGGATACTATCATAAAAGATACACATTTCTTTCTGCTTATTGAACACTATATTAAATAACTTCTACTGAATTGTTTTTATTGTTGTAAAGTTTATCTTAATTATATTGTTATTGACCTTTTTATCTTACGATGTCATTTTTATTGTTGCCCTTGTTACTGCATGTAATAGATCATTACCTATCACAATAGAAATTTACTTTAATTTTTAGAGGAGACAACAGGATGGATCAAAAGTCGGACAGTGTTAGGAATCATGGGCTTCTTAGGTTTCGCCAACGTGTATGCAATGCGAGTAAATCTATCAGTTGCTATTGTGGCCATGGTAAACTCGACAACTGTACAGAACAATTCAACACTAGATGTATGCCTTCCACCAACTCCTAGCAATACTTCAATACCAGCAGTAAGTATTTTAAAAAGTGTATGGTTCTTATAAAATTTATCTCAATATAGCAAAACCTTATATAAATATTGCATCCTGTTATTATGTTTTTTCTTTCAATGTTTCATTTTGTATTCGTTTGTATAATGTTACCAAACTGCTTTATTTTATATATCTTAACATTGTTACAGAAACCTGGTGAATTTAATTGGGACGCAGGACAACAGAGTATTATATTAGGTTCTTTCTTCTATGGATATGTTTTAACACAGGTAATAACTGCTTTTAAAAAGCAATTTTTTTGTTGATTTACCAATTTACTCCATTTTACAAATATATACTCAAAAGTTGTATTCAAATACCATGTATTGTTTGCACTATGTTGGCACTACCTACAAATATGACATGAAATATATTTATTTCCAGATACCAGGTGGAAGGATAGCTGAAATATTTGGTGGTAAACTTGTTTATGGGATAGGAGTGCTGTTAACGGCAATATTTACAATTTTAAGTCCAATAGCTGCGAAAGTTGACTTTAAATTCTTTATAGTTGTGCGGGTATTAGAAGGTTTAGGTGAGGGTGTGACATACCCTGCGATGCATGCAATGCTTGCTAGATGGATACCACCATTGGAACGCTCAAAGTTTGCTGCATATGTGTATGCGGGTGAGTAAAATATTATTTGTTATTGCAAAAACTGAACAGAAATCATAGATTGATGTTATGTAATGTAATATAACTTATAATCCTGTAAATATAAAATTAACTTCAATTTATACATCTGTAGTTAGTAGTTGGGGTACAGTTTCAACTCCACAACTAGCATTTTTAACATTTTTAGAGTCTAATGCCTAGTAAATCAAAATTTTACATGATTCCAAATGTAAAAGTTAATTTTTGTAAAAACTAAATGTCACCCTTTATGCTAAATTTCATTGATTTCAAAATAGTCTTAGATGTAATAAATGTTAACTTATCATAGTAATTTTATTTCAATTTATCATTGTTATTGTAAATTTTTGAAATATAATAAAATTACATTATTATACATTATGTGTTAAAGTACAGTCAGCTGCATAAATGTGTACACAATTACAAAACATTAATAATTGGTATACATTGGTTCCAAAAACATATACACATGTCTGTCTGTATGCTAATGACCAGGGACATGTTTCTGATGAAGATATCTTTCTGAAACCGAAAAGCGATTTTTTTATATTTTGCAAGTGTGTTAATGTTTGTGCTGACTGTACATCTTGTTCCAGGTTCGAACATTGGTACAGTAATATCTTTACCAATATCAGGATGGCTCTGTACTCTTGATTATGGTGGTGGTTGGCCGCTTTGCTTTTATCTGTTTGGAGGTCTCGGTGTATTGTGGTTTGTCGCGTGGATGTTTCTTATTTACGACACTCCACAGAAACATCCAAGGATATGCGCAAAAGAGGTTGAATACATCACTAATTCTATAGGAGTACAAGTAAGTAAATTATAACATTTTAATACATGACGAGCTGTCGCAAACTTTGTTAGTGGAAAGGGCCACCTGTTACGCCATTTTGACAGCGCGGAATTAAAAAAAACTAGTCTATATGTATATGCCTCCATGTCAACTACCCCACAGTGAAAGTCTAATCGAAATCGGTGCAGCCGTTTTAGAGATTACCCGAAAAAAAACGCGGCTTGCGAACAGACAGCCAAACAGAAGAAAAAATATAATGCGATTTTCGTTACAAGCAACGAAAATACATCATCTTCCCGGAATCTGGAATTTTTCTTTTGATATTACAAACAGACACTCCAATTTCATTATATGTATTATCTATACAAGGCATATATTATATATACATCAAAATTAAATTGAGTGACAGAAGAAAACTGCCTATTGTTGACCCTAATTTAATCCTATAATGCAAAATGTAAGCAAATAAATTAAAACATTATAAATTTATGAAGATGTATGCATATTTAATAAGACTACAATAACAATTATGTTAGTAACAGCGGTTCAAATAATGTAAACAGAGATAGCATTAATATTATGTGTGTGTTTTATCATTTGTGTGGGACAGTGGGGCACAGATGTGAGTCAACTTATGATGTCATGTATCAGTTACATGTTAACACATTACATGATATTATAATTTATTAGTTAAAATGGGTGGCACTGAAAGTGTTAAATAATCTTCTATCTATCTATATCTACACATGTAATAAAATTGGAAGGGTTATATGTAACATCAATAGAAAAATTCCAGACTTCAGGAAGATTTGGCGCTGGAGGCCCAACTTTAGTCCCTTTTCTTCCCACTATTTTTCTCATAAGAATAGAGGGAAATATCCTGTTTATGTGCGTCTCCTCTTCCGTCGACTTGCGGTAGGCAACGCATCCGTTATAGCGAATGTCTATGGGCAGGCCATTTTGGCGGATTCAGGTGGCCGCTAGCTTGTTTGCCACCTCTTGATATAAAAAAAAGATGAAGTATTTGCGTTGCTGATAATGAAAATTGCATTTAATTTTTTTTCTGTTTGTCTGTCCGCAAGCCGCGTTTGTTTCGGGTGATATCCCAAACAGCTGTGCCGATTTCGACCGGACATTTACTAAAGTAGGTGTCATAGACGGGCATATTATATGCTCCTTTTTTTAAAATTCCGCGCTGTCAAAATAGCGTAACGGGTGGTCTGATTTTGTTGGGACTTTGACTGAAAGCTAGCTGGTAAAAGGTAGATGCATGCAGGAATGAGATATTTAAAAAAAACCGCGCTAACGAAGTTTGCGGTCGACAGCTAGTTTATTAATGAAAATGGGGGGCATGAAAGTGGTAAATACTATGAAGGAAGTAATATGTAACGTGATTTTACATAGAGGTTCTATGCCACCCTCACAATTCACCTTTGGCATTGTCAAGGCAAAAAATTGTTTATCTCGTTTTGTTTTATTAATCCAACCAGTTCTTTGAAAATGAGATATGATGGGTGTGCATATAAAAATTATTTCTCTTTACCATTATTATTGCCATAACATCATTTATTGAGAAGAGAAGGTGAAGAGAATTGATTGAAGAAACATGTGTACTAATATATTTTTGGTTATTTTCTATCCTCAGTTCAGTCCCAATATAAATGTATCTTAGATTTAATTAGCATGTTGAAGTAATAGTTATAAAAAACAAATAAAAAAGTGAATTTTGTGAATTTCAGGAAGATAAACCGTCGATGTCAATACCATGGTGCAAGTTCCTGACCTGCCTACCCCTGTGGGCGATATTGATAGCGCAATGCGGCCAGTCCTGGCTCTTCTACACTCAGCTCACCGAGCTACCGACATATATGAATAATATACTGCATTTCGATATCGTTTCTGTAAGTACCAGCTGTTCGCGTGCGGCTTCATCCGCATGTAATTGTAAATTTATTGTTTGCATTTGTCAAATTCTCAATTGCCAATTGTCAAAATACCAATTGCAATTTTGCTTCCTTGATGTTGGCAGCAACTTACGGTCTCTTTCCCACATTAGGGTTATTATCCATAATCTTTACCCCCTAAGTTTAATGACGTGAAAATATATAGCCTTAAGTGTGACGTAAGTGTAAGGCTTTTTATTAAAAAAAGATTTATTCAAAAATATGCTGTAATTGCTGACATCTTAGGCAACAAAGAAGTGTGTGTTTACGCTTTATTATAATAGTATAGATATAGATATTATATTAGTATAAATATAGACTAACTGTAGGCCGCGACTCCATCCGCGCAGAAATGAAATAAAAAAAAACTTAGTAAATAGTGAGTGTTCTTACTATGTTCTACATCTGTGCCAAACAACCATACATCCAAACATTCGCATTTATAGTATTAGTAAGATTATATTAGTCAATATCGAGTTTTATTGTTTTATGTTTCAGAATGCCCGTCTGTCAGCTCTACCATATCTGACGTCATGGATAGCCGGTATCATAATTAGTATATTTGCTGATTGGCTGCTATCCAAGGGTTGGATATCACGACAGACCAGTATGAAACTCTGGAATACAGTTGGTAAGTTAAATTATAACTGTAATCTAAATTTTTACGTCTAGTCTATATAATAATAATAATAATAATAAGGATTTGGCTCACGAGATTACCGCCATGTGGCGTATGAAATCGACTACCATTATTCCGATAGTCGTTTCGGCACACGGGCTGATAGCGAAGAGCTTCGACCAACACCTCAAGAAGCTCTCGCTAGACAGTTGGATTAAGGGCCCGATTCAAAAGGCGGTTATTTTAGAAACCGCACGACTAGTGAGGAGGTTCCTGTCTCTGCAGCCCTGACCACTGGTTGCTTGAGTCATCGGATTCCGCAGCCGGTGGACTTACTATTTTTTTATATAATATGTTTTATTTTGTTATTTTTTTAAGAAAATCATGTGAAATGTATTATATATAAAAATAAGAGAATAAAGATATTAATAATAATAATACACATTTAATCAGTTCCAAAACACTAAACACTATATTTTAAATATCTTTGGTTACTTGTATATATGTAATAAATAAAGATGTTTCTCCTACATAATTTCTAGTAACTGTTGCCCGCGACTTCCCGCGTGGTATTAGAAAACACACGAACTATATAAATAACAAAAAGCTACACATCCCTCAGGAACCGGATATTTCTCGGGGATGAACCTTATCCCATGTATTCCAGACTTTGTTTCATATCTGTGTCAAATTTCGATAAGATAAGTTGAACCGTTGCAGAATGATTGAGTATAACTTAAAAAACTAAATTATCGAATCCTACGGGAACCGTAACTATTCCCGGGATAAAAAGTAGCCTGTGTGTTCTTCCTAACTATCCTCTACATAAATACCAAATTTCATTGATATCCGTTCAACCGTTTAGGATACAAAGTCTAACAAACATCCATCCAAACTTCGCATTTATATTAGTATGTTATGATATGTAGGGTCTTATTTATAAATACTTTACAGTTTGTAAATATTATTTCCCTTTTAATACGCAATTGTAGGTTACGATGTTAATCTAGAGGTGAAAGATCAATTTAGAAGTTAGATTACTGACATGTTTAAGATAGTTAAGTAAATGTAGTTCTCGATAATATCTTAGGAAAATAGAATTAAAGGACAACAGAAAATTTGTAAAAAATGAGTGTGGTGCCGGAGGCCTAATTTTAGTCCCTTTCTCTTTCCACCCTTATCTTAAGAGGAAAGGACAGGAAGGAAAAGTGGATTTGGCGGTGGAGGAGACACATAGGAAGGAATATGTCCTCTTTATCTGCGTCTCCTCCTCCGTCAATGAAGGGTAGGCAACGCATCTGCAAATGCGTATGTTTATGGGCAGCGGTCGCGTTCCATTTCGGTGGATTCAGGTGGCCGCATGCTCGGCCACCTTATATTACAAAAAAAAGTTATAATACGTTTTACTGTGTACTCCAACCCTATAATATAAATAGACTTAATAAATGGATTTGTTAGTTCATGTTAACTAAATTATATTTCATGGAAGCCTCTTGTCGTGTACTAGGTTCTTTTAATACGTAATAATGTGTATTCCAGCGGCGTTTGTGCCAGCATTCGGTCTGCTGGGTATAGCGTGGGCGGGCTGCGACCGCACAGCCGTTATGTTGCTACTCAGTATCACTTCGGCATTCGGCGGAGCTGTCTACGCAGGTAATATTAATAGTGCATTTAAATTATTTCAGACTTGAACTATTACTTTTAAGCTACACTAGCTTTAGCCTGCGACACTGTCCGCGTGGAATAAGAAAAACAAAAGCAAGTAGCCTGTGTTCTTTTTTTAAAAAAAATCGTTCAGTCGCTTAGGCTACATCTATCAAACATCCATCCATCCAACTAAACTTTCGCATTTATAAAATCAGTATGATTAGCTACAATTAAAAAAAAATGAGTAGCCTGTGTGTTCTTCCAGACTATACTCTACATCTATGCCAAATTTTATCGAGATCTGTTCAGCCGTTTAGATTACAAACATCCATCCAAACTTTCGCATATAATACTAGTAAGATGTATGTATTTGTAAAAAATTAAGTAGCTTATAACATTACAACCATTAAGATAGACATTTGTATATGAAAGTTGTTACAATAAAGTTCTATAACAAAATAGTGGTAGAGGACGTGTTTCCTACATTAGGCTCTAGGCCCGTCTTGTAGTTATTTAGGACAGTAAGATAAATAAAGTAGTTTACATACTGCTGGTAATAAAATACCTTTTTAATTTATTTTTGAACGTGTGTGTGTATCAGGTAACCAGATGAACCACATCGACCTGTCCCCGCAGCTGGCGGGCACAATGTACGGCATCACGAACGCCGCCAGCAACATCTGCGGCTTCCTCGCGCCCTACGTCATCGGACAGATCATCAGCTCCGAACAGGTCTAAAAACAGACACTATTGCTTAAAATAATATTTTATTTTATTGTTTACATTTGTCAAATGTCAAAATTACAGATACCATAATGACATTGCTTCCTTAATGTTGGCAGCTTGTAGTTTATGGTCGCTTTCCCGCTTGAACGTTTTTTTTGCAATTTATTTACCTACAAAGTTTAATAGCGAGAAAAAATTTAACCTATAGCTTGTCGTAGATATAGGGTTTTAAAGGAGTTATTCAAAAATAGGCTGTGATTGCTGACATTCTACACCACAAATTATGGTGTGTTTACGCTTTATTATATTAGTATAGATTGTAAAACGGTAAAAATTAAAAAAAATCTTAATTTTTTTGTCGCTCTTGACGGATTTTTGATAAATTTAAATCCATGTATTTACCGGGATTTTTAAATTTCAACAAAAAATATCACTACATATTTAAGATCGATTATTATATTAATTACTGTACATTTCATGGTAATTAATAATTAACTCGTGAGTCGCGAAACTGAGCAGACATTCGAAAAACTTCTATATGGGAAGAAATAAATATTTTTATTTAATTTTTCTAGCAAACACTGGGCCAATGGCGGGAAGTGTTCTACTTGGCGGCCGCCATAGATTTAGGAGCAAATCTTTTCTACTTATTCTTCGCAAGCACTGAGGAACAGGTAAATATTATTATTCTTTATTCATTTAAAATGCATAGATACCCAATTAATAGTAATGTAAATTAAAATTTACAAAACCATTAGTTTTTCAAATATAAAGATGAAAGATTTTATTCACCAAAAAACTACTTGGCCGATTTAAAAAAAAAAACTTTCGCTATTAAAAAGGTGATTTATTTGTGAGTAACACAGGCTATATTTATATTGTTTTAAAATTTGAAGCGGACGTAGCCGCGAGCAACAGCTAGTCTATATCAATATTATAAAGAGGATAGATTCGTATTTTTGTATGTACTGATATAACTCAAAAACTAGTAGGCCGATTTCACAAATTCTTACACTATTAAAAAGGTACATCATCAGTGAGTAACATAGGCAATATTTTTATTGTTTTTTTTTTAATTCGTGGACGAAGTTACGGGCTAAAGCTAGTATTTAATAATGTTCCAGGACTGGTCTCGGCCGGACAACGACGATATGACAGCGTCCGCGCCAGTGGAAAGCATCATGTACCCGGAGTCCTAGTGCCGGCGTCGCCCGCCGCGCTGGCCGTTGTGACGTCACACGCGTCACACCGCGCTGACGTCACACCGCACACGTCACACCGCCAACGTCACTACATCACGCCACACCGTGCTGACGTCACAATATCTCGTCACATTTGTGCGTTCGTTCTGTGAACTCGACGAGTCTCGTGTCAATTGAACAACTAAATTATGTAAAAAAATGTATTATTTGGTCAAATTTAATGGCGGCCATTATGTGTTTTCTTATCTGTTTGGTTTTGAAAATTGTCAAATAAAGTGAAGTGATATTATGAATAGGTATTGAATTATCCTAGTTGTCAAAATTTATTTCAAAGATGTTTTGGAATTGATCGAATTTTATCGTAAAGTTTGTCTATGGTTAAAGTTTTGGCTTTGAATTGGAACAAAATGTATGTTTATTATTCCGTTTCTGATTTTTGGTCTTTTTAAGTAAGTATACGAACGTGTAAGATGTAAACTTCTCTCTATTTTACTTTTACGCCCTTTTTCCACTGCTGCAGTCGCGATTCCATCGCGTACCGTAGTGAAAACGGGGCCTTACAATTTCTTTTCCACGAAATATTAAATTTAGCTACTAATTTTGCGGAACTATTTCGATTATGACTATTAAAAGTAAAATGAACTTATTACTATTACTTGTTTGCTATTAGTTAGTCATAATCGACATTATTAAACCTTGTATGAGTAAGTATATAAAAATAATCTATTATTTTAGGTCCTGTCCCACCACTGGCTAATAGATAGTTTAAAAATTACGTCATTGTCAGATAAGGACACAAAATCCTATATTTCCATCAGATATTTTACATGTTGGATGGTTATTAGACAATTTACAATTTGGTGGGACAGGCCCTTAAACTTTTTAATAATACGGTCTATGGAATGTTTAATATATACAGCACAAATGATTTATAATTTCTCCATAAATGTCTAATTATGTCCAAAACTGTTTGTTATAAAAGTATAAGGTGCTATATTAGAACAAATTAGTTTCTCATTCATGTAAATTCATACTGGTTGTACAGTTAGCTGCAAAAACATGTAGTCATTTACAAAACCTTAGATAATTTAGAAATTCGGTTTCAAAAATAAAGAAAACATATGAATTAAAGCATAAAAATACGTATGAATTAATATGTTCTCGTGTATTTTTAAAACTGTAGGCATTTATAAGTTGTTGTATCAAAATTATTGTAAAAGATTACATATTTGTTGCTGACTGTACATAAAATTTGTTCTTTCTATTTTCATAAAACATGCTCAGACCGAAAACATGTTTTTGCGTTAATGATTACATTAAAAAATAGAATGGTTTAAAGTAAAAATAAATTTATGCATGTGATATATAATTCAACAATTATGTCTAATTTTTTAATATTTTTTTTTCGGTTTTAATTTTGTGATAGTAAAATTAGTTTTCAAAACATAGTACAGAATTTAGCTTACAGTATTATGAACCAAAATGCAATAAATAACTTAATAGTGAATTTTAATTAAATTGTAGATAATTTTTCTGTAATACAGTTATATAATTTATTAATTTAATTGTCACTTAAATGAAAATACCTAAGAATAATAGTAAATAAAAAAAAATAGTTTCTTCCAGTCCACTTTTATGGAATTATACATTTATTTTATTTAAAAGGTTTTGTTTGTTAATCAAGAAACAATTTCTTTAATATTTGGATTTGTAGTTATTATGTAATACCACGATATAATATTTCGAAATCTATGGATAAATGAACACTAATCGGTTACCTTAACTACTCTAGTGTTTGAATTATAAAACGAAAAAAAATATTTAAAAATGCAATTAAAAGTTCTTATTGCTTGCTTTATAAACATTTAACTCAATCCTTTAAAGTTGTTTTTTCTGTTTTAGTATAGATTACCTAGAAAAAATAACTCACCATATTTTTAACTCTCATTTTTTAACAAAGAAACCGATTGCAGAGTGACGATTTTTGTATTCTCGGTTTAACTATAAACTTATTTACGTCTAACTACTTAAACGTCAATTTCATAACCGAATTAAGAACGGGCGCACACCTTTGACTAAATTATCGCACAACCGTTTAGTAGCACTTTGATTCCTATAACCTTATATGAGCACACTACTCGATTTTTAGTTGTGCAACTAAACAGTTGAAACCTGCGAAACAATCGCACGACAGTTGTGCGATAGTTTAGTCAAAGGCGTGCGCCAGCTCTTAATAAAATATATATAGTAAATTACTTTTTACATTCAGTCGTATGTCTCGAAACTAGGAATTCTTGTTTGTGTGTAAATTACTCACTTACATATGAAATGTTAGGAAACCATTTGAATATAAGCAAAAATAAATAATAAAAACATGACAAATATGTGTCAGTACTTAGTAATGGTTAATAGTATAATATTGAGGTTTCAATTAAGTTATTTACGAGTAGCGAAGCTACAGTACAAACTTATTACGTTCCTTATTTATTCGAAACTTAATTATTGCTGATTTATTATTTAAAAGCTTGTAAAGCTTAATTTTCGCGATGTTGCCATTTTCAAAAAAATCGCAAAAATTTACCAATTTTTAACAACTCTTTTTGTAATAATGATATTTGATTTTTTTTAATTTCGTTTCTTATTAACAAAAGGTGCTTGAAAACACGTAAATCTGCACATTATTTCTTAAAGGAGAAATTTCGATCGTTTACAACAATGGAATTATACTATCGATAACTTCCCATACAAAGTAATGAAAATAATCTTCGGATATTGGGTTCGATGTAATTGAATCGATAAACCAAATCGATTGTCTTGATGTATGTAGTTTTAATACGATAAACATTCCAATACTATATTAATCATTGAATATCATCAGTATTCGTTTGTGATTAATTTCCGATGTTAAGTTATTATTCTTTTCGTAGTGATAACAAAATTATATCTACATATATTTGCAATGTACGTATATTTGAATCTCTTTTCGCACATGAAACATTATCTTTATCATTTTATATATTATTAATAAAACTATTGTGACGTATCAAGAATTTTTCTAAACATGTACATATATATAAAGTATATTTTTCTAGATTGTAAAAAGCAAATATATTCTGTAAAATAAAATGCTCGTTTTATTATTTTGATAACCAATTTGGTTAATTTTATAAGATCAACTAATCCTAAAAGAAAACATTGGCTCTTTTAAAATAATTGATTACAATTAATTATATTTGTCCCGTTATAATGACAGGTTGAATGCTTTTTCTTTTTTAACATATAAGGTGGCAAATGAGTACGCGGCCGAATGGCGCAGCGACCTCTGCCCATAGACATTCGCAGTAGCGCATGCGTTGCCTACCCTTAATCGACTGAGGAGAAGACGCATACAAAGCGGATATTTCATTTTCCTATGCGTCTTATCTACCGTCAAATCCACGTTCCCTTTCCATCCTACTCTTATGAGAAATTGGGGATTAGGAAAAGCGACTAAAGTTGGGTTTCTGGCACCGCACTAATCAGACGAAACGCGGAATTGCTCCCACTTGACAGTGGTAGTGCCCGCTTTAACATCTTAGCACGAATGGGCCGGCACGCCCGGTGTAATACCACGACCGTATTTCGTCTGATGAGTGTGGTGCCGGAGGCCTAATTTAAGTCCCTTCCCTTTACCACCCTTTTCTTATGAGAGGATGGGAAGGGGAAGTGGATTTGACGATGGAGGAGATGCATAGGAAGAGGAAATATCCTCTTTATGTGCGTCTCCTCCTCAGTCGGATAAGGGTAGGCAACGCATCTGCAATTGCAGATGTCTATGGGCAGCGGTCGCTTCGCCATTTTGGCGGATTCAGGTGGCCGCTTGCTCGTTTGCCATCTTATGTTATAAAAAAAAAAAAAAACTTCACGCCTGTCTTCTGTGTGGTATTGCACCGGGCGAGTCGACCCATTCGTACGATATTAAAGCGGAATTTAACAATTTAATCGTATGCTTTTAAGATATTAAAATTATACCTAAGTGTCAATTCTTATGTATAAAAACAACTAATCCACTAATTGTTCACATATACCACAAACATCGTTACTTCGAACAAAATGACCAATAATTTCTGTGACCAAATTTACCTTGTCTCTCCGACCGTTACTTCTTTTACTTAAAAGTAATGAATACAAACAAAAACCAAAGGGATGCGACAGCGGTCCTTTTTCTCATCAGGAAATGTTGTAAATATGACCATAAACACATCGGTCGTTAAGCTTTGTTAATGGTCCGTTCAGCCACGTTGCCTTTGCCTTTGGCGGCTCGTATACTTTTTTCTACACCCGCGTAACCGTTTTAAAGATTTCACAGTAAAATTGACGGGTTGAGGAGAAAACTTTAAGGACAATAGCCGGCGTTATTTCGCAAACACGAGCACAAGCCGGCAAATACTTTGTTAACGGTTAATTGCAAGGGTTTGTCAATAATAACTTTGCCTTTGTTAAATATTTTTACGCATAAATTTTACGACTCCGCGTCGCAGAAAGGTTTAAAAATTTCGTTACATTGTAATTGAATTTTAATTGCCGTTTTGTTTATACCGCAAGGACAAATAAACATTGTCGCATGTTCGCAGGTAAATTTTGCAATCTTGTTTGAGAAGTTACTGATTTTGTTCGTGTAAATAAAGAAAGCTTTACATAACGGGTTTGATATTTTAGTTATATTGTAACTAACAAAATAATCGTATCGTGTACAAAAATTAACTATATCTAAAACGGCAATATTCAATCTTGATAAAAATATTAAATGGACGATTAGTATCTAAATCTTTTAAAAAAAGCGCCATCAAGAAAGATAACGAAATTGTTGTAGAGTAAAATAAAGTAAATACCGATAATCTCAATTCTTTAAACCTCATGCTAAATCGCTCTGTCTTTGACTTTTAATTTATAATCTATTCATTCATTCTTTCATCAGAAGCACTACAGCCGCGGGTGGGCCTGGGCCTGGTCCAGTAAATCTTCCATATCGGTCTATCTTGGGCTTTTTGTTTCCAGCCCTTAATGCCGACATTTTTAAGGTCTCGTTCGACATCATCTTGCCATCTTAGTTTCGGCCTCCCGCGCGATCTACGTCCCTCTGGTTGACTCTCTAATAGGCGCTTGGGCACTCTGCAGTCACTCATCCTCGCTACATGTCCTGCCCAGCGTAGCCGACCAATTTTGATGGCCTTGACGACATTTGGCTCATTAAAGATTTGGTAAAGTTCGTGATTGTATCGAGTTCGCCATTGATTATTTACAAACAGAGCTCCATAAATTTATAATCTATACTCATACTATAAAGAGTAAATCGTTTTATTTTATGTATTGAAATAACTCAAAAACTAATGGGCTGATTTCAAAGATTCTTTCACTATTATAAAGATATCAGCGAGTAACATAAACTGTATCTTTCATTAATTTTAAATTTTACTTTAACAAAATCTCGAGCAACAGCTAGTTTTATACTATTGATGAAGATGATATTAAAGAAAATAAGAATAATTCCTCATAAATTTGCTAACAAAGTCCATAAATGCTTTCTTTTACGCACCCCTTGAATAACATACTTTTAAGCCTGCAATAAAGTGTTGAAATAAATAACAGACAGCTTAATTGTCCGTAACAGGCTTTTCAACCTAACTTAGCTGTTTGTGAAGGTCGTGGGCGCTACTACAATATTACACCCTTTCACAATTTCGTTACGCTGTGGTATAATAAAGAAATGGTTTCTAGCCTTACTAAAAGAATAGATATAAAACTGTCACCAACTTAAAATGTCTTTACAAAACATTATTATGTTTTCGGTGACAATGAAACCAAGGAAACATTCTAACCTCAAAACACCTTCCTCGAACCGCAATGCGTATGTATGAAAAAGTGTTTTGCGTGCACGTTTATTGTTTTGTAAAGGCAAGAAGCGTTAGGATGCCCTCTGCCTACGACTCTAGGTGATGGTAAGTTTGTTTGTTTTTTCGGACCAAGTTCTAAAGATTTTGCATGTTAAGACTGCGAGCACACCTTTGATTAAACTGCAGCACAACTTTTTAGTTGCGCTTTGATTTCTACGAGCTTGTGGTGAGGTGGGCACTTGATTTTTAATTGTGCAATTAAACAGTTGGCTGCGAAACAATCGACAATCTGGCAACAGTTGTGCGATAGTTTAGTCAAACGATTCCGCCCGGTCTAGATATACTCAGATAAAAATAAGTTAATCTTCTTATTATTGTGCAATACAACAATTTAAATTATCTGCGCACAACTATTGGTAGTAAAATATGTAGGAATAAAGGTACACTTTTAAGTACAGTTACGACATCCTTCACAGAAAATTATTGTTTTTAATAAAAAACAAATCTGTAGACAAAAGTTGCTCTATTTTCGGTTTTAACGCGACCTAACAGTAATTACCCAACTGTTTTAAAATAGAGCACATTCTATTGTTTTGTAGTTTTTTTTATTGGCAACAATAACAGATGAATACAGCATAAAAATGTACAGACCGTTACCAAAATTTGAACATTTTTTGTTTGAAATTTAAAAAAGGAACCGTTACTTCAGTTCTAAGAAATTTGAATTGAAAGATTTTTTTATAGATGAATGAATTGTTCATTGCACAATATGAGTTTACTGCTGTAATTTTGAATCACTATTACATGTAAATTGTGAAATTTGCAATATTACTTCTTAAGTTATCGTGATACCTATCACCCGCGACTACATCCGCGTGGATTAAAAAAAAATGCCTAATAGTATTTTATGATTTTTTTTTTCACTATCTGTGCCAAATTTCATCAAGAACAGTTCAGCCATTTAGGCTACAGACTCTAACAAACAGCCATCTATATCTAAACTATCGCATTTGAAACATTTTCATTTAAGATTATTTTTTTTATATAAAACGAAAAACTTGCATGAATTATCACTTGATAATGAGTTTAAGATAAATCAGTTTAAACATTTATATTGGTTTCTGTTTCGCAGTATAACCTGAAGCATGGCGCAGAGATATTATATTGTCCACTAAGATTCAAACGAAGATGTCAAGGTTAGTGCAAGTTGAAATTAACAAAGAAAGTTGACACTATCATATGGAATATAAGACAGGAAAGTAGAGGACAAGAATCTATTTTGAGAGAGATAAGATATTAAAAGAAAGAGCAATAGTTATTGAATTTACACAATGTTGTATAGATATTTAAAATACAACTTGTCTAAGCAAAACAATGAATGAACAAAGACCTCAAGCGTAGGCTAATGAGGCCTGTGGGCTGCGAGCGCCCGACAGCTTTTGCATATGCAATAGAGGTTATATATTTACCATGCGATGTTAATTCCCCGGACAGTAACGATAATTCCTATACACCTATACAATTTGTGTATTTCACCATTGTTTCTATTGTATTTATCTTACTCAAATTTATAATAGTAATATTATAGTTAAAACATCAGATAATAAGCCTCAAACCTGCATTTATCGTAAGGCTTTTCTTGATTTTCAGGAATATATGCGCCATTTTCATGTGGCGCAACTTATATAAAAATAGTAGTAGTTAAATGGGGGGTGGATGAATTTGTTGGACTTTGCTACTTTGTCGTTAACGTGATTGAAACTATTATTTGATGGTTACTCTAGTGCCGTCAATAGACCGGCCTCTTTGATGTGCCGACTGGGACTAGATGTGGACATGTTTATGCGCCGTATCGATACGCAGGAGTTGAGCTGCGACGATACTAACATCATCGCTTTAATAGGCTTTGAAGAAATATCGACACTAGGAATTAAGCTTCCTAATAACGTTTCACGTATTCGCTAATACACTGACGAAACAAACTTTTTTAAGCTCTACTAACATTCAACTTTGTCAACAGATATTAAAAGACAAGGAATTATGTATAACTTAAAAAACAAGGTAACTGGGCTAGGTCTACCTAGAACTTAATTATATCACCTAAAATAGTGTCCTATTACAATTGTAAGAGGTCAGATAAAACAATTGTTACAGATAGTTCAAGTTGTATTTTCTATGAAAATAATGGAATATTAAAGAATAGGATACTAGTGTGTTCCTATCCTTAGTTCTTGGAGGCACGCGAGAGGCGGGCGTGCAGCGTGCAGTGGTCGCGTGGCGCTCTCGGCTCGTCTCAGCGACCGACTCGACGCCCGACTCCCGACGCCCGCCTCGCGTCAGTCGTGCGTCGGCTGTCGTGTGGTACGTACGTGTATTGTTATCTGCCGCTACACGCGATAATGCAGTGATATCGCGTAAAAGTGCTCTAGTGATTTATAAACAGTATGGTGACGGGAATTGCCAACGGGCAGGCCTCCAATCCGGTCGCAATGGTGAACGGCAACATGACTTCTCCAGTTCCTACTGAACAGAAGAAGTCTTCTGGAGATAATAGAAGGGTAAGATTTCAGCAATCTTTGATTTTTTTATTTATAATTTATTTAAAAGATTTTCTATACTAAGTTTACCTTCTGGTCCAAAATTTTGGGCAGAATCTAAGCATGTTTTCCTTTATTTAATTAATAAAAAGCTAAACAGAATAAATAGACCGAAAGTAATTTGTAAGAAGTCCTTCATACTACAAATTGATTTTCAAATATCTAGGAATTAAAAATAAGGGCGAAAACAAATAAGTTGAGGAAAATCGCAAAATTACTGGCTATTCCTGTTTTGGTAATCACAATTTTTTTATGCGGAAAAAATGCCGTCTATTTATTATAATGTTTTAAATTACATTTATGCTAGACAACAAAATGAAATGTGCGTGCGTTTTTAATTGCGTTTCGCATAAAGTCGGTCATCTTTATGCAAATCTTTACACTTGTGTCGCGTGAAGGCATCGGTTGACAACACGACTGTTGATTTAGCAAGCCAGCGAGAATAACACATAACGAAGTCATCACGAACATGATCCATGTGTCTAGCACAAGCAACACGTTGCTGTTATTTACTTCTGCAGGTTATGTACCTAGCTATCTTACTAGTATTATAAATGCGAAAGTTTAGATGGATGGATGGATGTTTCTTAGAGTTTGTAAACTAAACTGCTGAATTTCGATTAAATTTAGCATAGATGTAGAAGATAGTCTGTAAGAACACGTAGTTTACTTACTTTTGTTTTTTTTCATTCCATGCATACGGAGTCGTGGGCGATTGCTAGTAGCTGTATAGATAACTGTTGTGAGCTTAAATGGTACTTCTATGAACATTACAATTTCAATAAAATCTCATAGTTATTTAGACCAGCGTCTCCTAAATTTATTGGTCCACTTTCGGGTTAGGTGCTAGCCGTGATATTTCTTCTTTAATCCCTTCATTATGTACCTACAACTTCATTTTTCGTTATCGTACCTCCTAGGTAGGGCAGGGTGAACCTCATTTGGTGTGTAAAGTCGACCTCATTAGGAATTATGTCGTGGACCTCATTGAGAATCCTTGATGTAGATGATTATGATAAGCACGGTGTACATTCCCTCTTTGTCTATGTCCATTTAAAACTAAAAAATGATAAATACTATACTACTTTCAAGCTAGCCATTTAATTTGCAAGGAAATAAAACATTAGAAGCCTTGGTTGCAATATAAAACATCGACCGTTATTAAAAATTCAACAGACAATTTATTGGTCTATCATTGCTGTTGTTTTATTCATGTTCATTAAAGAATTAATTTTTATGGTTGCTTTATAGCTTAATAAACACGTGTCAATGATATTTTTATGCAAATCTTTTTTTGTCGTCTGTTAACATATTTATGACAAATGTATGTATGCAGATTTTCATAAACAGACGTTGTTTTATGTTAATTCTATTTTTTTAATTCAAACGTCATCAAACTTCAATACTGGCAAAATTCTTTGATATTGAATATATTACCTGTTAAAGGTATATGGAAAATGTTGACGCAAGCAAATTGAGAATGCGTGTACTCACATTATTCACTCTAACTCTTATCGTCGGCTTCTAACCACAGTACTTAATGGGATGACTGTACTCTAGGGTTGCTACTTCTTTGAAAATTATACACCAAACTCTTGCAGTTAATATATATTTAATATTATATCATACTGTCATTAAGTAATCCTCAAATATATTTAGAACAATACGAAGAAAAAAACATCATAAAAAGCGTATCCTAAATATATATAAGTCACAGACAATACGCAGTTAGTCGAAACGGAAAGGTCACTTATGAATGGTCTGTTTTGCGACTGTGCGTAATATATTTAGAAACTGTCTGCGAGTATTTGGCAGCCACAACCCTGGCCGTCCTCCGCTGAGTCAGTCGCGTGGGCGGCGGCGGCAAGCGTGGGCTATCGTGGGCTAATTATCGTGGGAACGGGCGGCGAGCGCCCACACCCACGTCTCCCGGCGCGTGGGCTACCGTGGGCCAATTGTCGTGGGAACGCGCACCCACGCCCACGCGCTTCCTAACAAGTCACGGATCACCTTCAAGATTAGATAAAGAATTGATAACAATGTACTATTACTAATTACTTTTTGTTTTAATCTGACACGTGCACATTTTATAAGTGGATCGGAGCACGTGTCTTGTGTATTACGGCACACAGTTTATTTATGTTGATATGATATTTGCTTTTATGACGTTGTTGATTAGCGGTTAACGGATAACCTGGATATAAAAGAATCCCCAATAGAATTGCCTTCTCTTTTCTGTCAGGCTTAAAGCCCATACAATCAATTCAATAAATGTTCATTTAAAAAATAAAATCTGAATTGACGCATATGACACTCCAAGGAACGTTACTAATCGAATCACACATATCTTTAAAATCGGTCACGCCAGTTAAAACTAGAAGAGGTCAAGATGAATATTACCATCGAAAGTTAACCCTTTCTTTCGTTCAGGCAACAAGAACCATCTATATTTTTGTTGATACAATATATTATGTAGTAAATATGAAATATTTATTAATGATCGCGTGGCCAGACGTTAGTTAACAGGGCCACGACCTCGCCGGCTCGCCACGCGCTCAGACGCGAAGCGGCGACCAATTCACGGCCACCGGCCATCTATTGATATATTATAATGAGTAATGTCGCGTCTGCTACTCGCTAGTAGCTACGCTGCGGGAAAAATATGGACGAACAAAAAGTAGGCTAGATATGCCCTGTGAATTTGCTCGCGTTGATCTTTAATTACAAAGGGCAACACACATTTATATTATATGCGATGAAAGGTATTCTCCGTATCCTTTTTCGTTTTCATGACATTGAGAGAAGTCGAACTATATTACTTTTTTATAATAATTAATATATTTTAATGATATTAAAACATTTTGATAACCTTACTATCTTACTCTTAAGTCCTATTTAATTAACTAGATTGTACGCATCAGTACTGCTAAGAAGTACAACAATTAACGTCATCGTTTCCATTTTCATACCAGAAGTTGTTTTGTGTTTTATTTTCTATCGTGATAAGAAATGGTTCACACGATCGGCTAAAGGAAGTCGGGTTCGGGTGTAGGCGGTGATCCATCATCGCGCGATAAACATCGCCGCCGGGTGGCGCGTGTGGGCGCCCACGCAATGCTAGTGTGGTCGTGCCTTTATCTCGCACGAACTTCATAAATCCCATCCTAATTATTTGGATTTATTGATTGGCGTGTAATATAAACAACGATAGGTATTTCATATTTTATACTTAATTTTAATATGAACAAAAGTAATGTTAGGTTAAATTTAACAACTATTGTATAAATACAAATTTTCCTAAAAGCGAATGTTTTTGAAAGACGTTTTGTGCTACTATATAAATATTTTGATTAGAAAAAGTATAAGCTATTTCTGGATCGAGCAACACTAAAAATACATTTTCATAACAATTAAACGTCAAACTTCAGAAAATGACGAGCTAATATGAGGTTTAAGTTTGTTTTATTGTTGAAATGATCGTTTGGGCGACGAGCGGGCAGGAGCGTGCCGGAAGCTTGGCCGCTCCCACGCCTTGGCAGCTTGGCACGCGAGATGGCGTGCGCCCGTCGTCCGTCGTCCGACGCCCGTCGCGGCACAGACGCTGCCAAATTAACTGCCAACTCCTAACTTATATTACATCGCGCACCATTATATTTTAAGACATAAAATATTATTTTTATGCTTTATAATAACTTAAATAAAAGTTTTTAGAAGTATTGATTCTACTAGAATGAATGAACTTAAATCGAAGGAGAGGAATTTTGTATGAATCATGAATGAAATTAACATATAATACAAAAGTATTATGAGTTTTTTACGTTCTATAACACGTGAAATAATTATCTAACCAAACTGTAGATTTCACTGGCGAAAAAAAAGGGGGCGCTGAACAAATCTAGTACAAATTTACGTTGACGTTACGAATACCTTATTACAATTGTTCGTGCTAGGACCCCGGAAGATAATATCAAAAGAAAAAAACAGAATCCTAATGCACTGCTATACCATATTCTTGTAATTTGTTAGAAAACTGATCCATTGTCCTACAAATATATTCAATTGTTCATTATGTAGTTACATAAATACAAAGAGGCGACCGCAGTCTACTGCAGGTCGCTGGGAGTGCGCCAACGAGAGAAAATAGCTCGCACAACGCCTCGCCGCCGCCGCCGCCGCCGCGCCGTCGCACAACACCAGTGAATCATTTTCACATAACTAACGAGCTCTCGCCAAAGACTAGTTAGTCGTCTAATAGTCTAATCGCCACACTGGCCGCTTACGAAATTAAAGTCTATACGAAGGGATCTATACTATGATTACGTGACCATTTCACGGTTGAGTTAGTATGTATACATACCATTTCTTAAGACAAGTATTTACAAACATTTTCCATGCCATTACCATAGATAAGGTATCTTCTATCTACATCTTGATATATGAGGTAATATGTTATTTCAATTTTATTTGATGGCGTCGAATTATTGGAAAGACTGGTTTCTTTCTATACGCAATTCAAAACTGAGTACACGCAGGATGATTATTAAATGACTAGGTTTCACCCGCAACTCTGTCCACGTGGAATAAAAAAAAAACAAAAGTGAGTAGCCTATGTGTTCTTTAACACTATCCTCTATATCCGTAACAAATTTCATCGAAATCCGTTTAGCCGTTTAGGCCAAACACTAACAAACATCCATCCATCCATCTAAACTTTCGCATTTATAATATTAGTACGATTATTTAATTTACTACCTGTACTTTTTATTATGCGTTGGTATTAAGTATCGATCAGTTCTTATGATAAGAATGTGTGTCATGAGAGTGCGTGGGTGTGTAGCGTCCCAGACGAGCGCAGGCGGGCGCGTGCCGGCGGCGCCCTGCGACTAATTCCGGCGCCGCGCCGCTGACTGCTGACGGCCGGTGTGACGCGGCGTTACGTAAATATAGCAACCGTCTGGCAGGCCGGACGGTTGGACGACTGGCCGGCTGGATAGTTGGGCGGGCGGCTGTATAAAGCCCTCTATTCTCAGTTCTAGCTAAAAACTGTGCGTATGTAGACAAAACCTTAACTGAACAATTCAACTGTCAGTTATCATTTTGCCTTAGATCAGTTGGATAAATAATAAATACAGTGTTTTTTTAATTGTACAAGCAATGCTTTGAAAACTCAGTGCAGATCTGACAAGATTTCACATTAAGAGAATCAACTTTATAGTTACATATTAAATCTTAATTTCACAACAAATATGGATGTAATATTCAGATACATTATTTTTTATACACTATAAAAATAGACAGTAATAGTATGCATGTCATAACGATATTCTCATACTGTGCTACGAGTTCCCGCATGCCGGAAGGCGACGCCACTTCCGGTCAATCACGTCTCGTGCTCTACAAAATAGCTGAAAATATACACATGAGACATAACGGATTCAATAAACACAACAAACGTCTATGAAATCATTTATGATACACCAGTTTCACATAAACACAGGTCGATTTTGTAATGATTCAAAATTAAACCAAGGAACTAACATGAAAAAGTTTGCTTAATGCCATATCAAAAATAAACCAAACTGGATAAGAAGTTTAATAAAAGAACATTGTCAAAGTGTAAGAGATGGTTTAATCGAAGGCAGTTGGCGACCTATCTCCTCAGTCATCCGTCACGTCGGCCGTCACGGGATGGCGCCTAGAACGTGTCACGTGTCGGTAACACGCGTGACGCGGCGTCACGTCGCGGCCGGCCGACCTTCACGGCCTTCACCTTGGGCCGCACGCGCCGCCGCACTTATTATGGATTAACGCCATTGGTCACGCGCCCGTCTCGCTTCTCTTTGTAATCGCAATTCACTTATATGCATACATGATGAAATTATATTGTTGCATGTTCTTGACTATAAGTAAAAGAGGAATTTAAACGGTTTTTATAGCGGAGGAAATATAGAAGGATGTACATAAAGTTGTTAGTACAAAAGTAAAATTTAACATTGTCTTATTTGTTACAGAGCAATAAGCCGATAATGGAGAAGCGGCGACGGGCGCGCATCAACAATTGCCTCAACGAACTCAAGTCGCTCATATTGGACGCCATGAAGAAAGACGTAAGTACTTTTAAAACTACATCCTTTTAAAATAATCGCAAATCGATTCTGTTTTAATAACTTTTGAAATAGGTGAAGACTTACCTGTTAATGAAACGCATTTATTGTTACAGCCAGCAAGACATTCGAAATTGGAAAAGGCGGACATCTTGGAAATGACGGTTAAACATTTAGAAGGGCTACGCAGTGAAGGTGTTGCTTCCCCGGACAGATTTAGAGCGGGCTATCGTCACTGTCTATCAGAGGTCGCGAAGTATACTGGATTGGAAGCGGGACTTAAACGGAGGCTGGTGAGACATCTGGAGGGGTGTGTGACACCGGGAGCCAGGCCAGCGGCGGCGCCCACACCGCCATCCGACAACGAAGATCACACCACGCCACAGCATTCGACTATATTTATCTCGGGTAAGAAACAAGTAATGCTTTTTATACCACAACGCTTAGATTCCACAAAAAAGCAAAATAAACCGTTGAATACAAGAAACACCGATATGTCTTATTGATGAAATTCATTTTCCAGCTGGTCCAGGATCAGGTGTGAGACTCGTCCCCACGAGGCTGTCAAATGGTGACATCGCCCTCGTCCTACCAGCAGGAGTCAGTACGAGCACGCTAGGAGCTCTACCTACCCTGGTGCCTCTATCGCCGCGTGAAGGTACTTCATCGACGTCCTCTGAAGCACGCTGCTTCTCCCCAGCCAGCTCAGGTTGGGGAACCCCACCACCTAACGATGAACCAGTCCCTCTAGCACTTATCACTAGAAGACAGTCCCCAGAAGAAAAACCCTGGCGACCTTGGTGACAGGAACTTTGAGTGTAGTTATTTCTGTGATATATCGTAATATATGTAAATTTTTAACGAGTGATAGTTTATTAAAAGTTCCTATTAAATGTAATTTAATTTTATTTGAACTGTATAATAATTTTTGAAACTTGCTTGGTCAGTACATAAAATGGTGCCGTCACATTTACCTAAAGTCTAGTGATGTTGCACATTTCAATTTTATAAGTTAGTTAAAAAAAAAAATAGATTAGTGTTTAATATTATGTATATTCGTGGATGACATCTGTGGCAGTATTTCGCAAAATGGGACCCCGCTGTCCCTTGTATAAAAAACATAAATATTTTTAATTTTATATGCACTAAGTGCCATCTACAGTATAGGTAATTTATAAGTTACCTTTAGCTGTTTGAGTTTTAGTTTATTTTGCGGTTGTAAGTAGGAGTTTAATTAAAAATTTTATTAAGCCAGAGCTAATCTCACAGAGGGCTATAAAATGTCACGAGTGCAGCGAAATTTATACCGACGTTCGGTCTATGTTTATCGAGATCGTTCAACGAGTAAACATTGAAATCGTTTTATTTTGCCCTATTGCGCATTTTTCTACCCATTAAATTGATTTTAAACTGTATAAGGACTCATTACTGATACATAATGTAGCATTATACAGCATTTTGCTTAGCATTCAGAAAATTAAGTAGGTTAACCCCAAAACGGAAAGTAATAAAGCAATGAACATTAATTATTACTTTATTTTTACACTTTGGAGCACAATATGAAGTTATTATTTACCGATTTAAAAAAAAATAAGTATAACTGAAAAATTTGTTAAAAAAATTTGCAAAAAATATTCGACATTCTTTCGTCATGCCGGACCGGACCGGCCGACCGGCCGGACCATAATTGTGATTAATATTGTGGTTTAATTTTTTTTTTTAATTATTACTATAATTTCTCTTAGTGCCAGGATAGTGACTTGTGAGATTTTCTCTGTATAGATATAAAGAATTCATGTGCCTTAAACAACAAAATTATTTAGTCTTCCATTAATAGCACTAATGTCGCCAGTAAAGTAACAAGATTGATTTGACAGCTATTAAATGTAAATAGACCTTCCTAGCCTTAAATATAATCTTAGATTTCAAAATTATTTTATGTATTTAAAGATTAAAAATAATACCGATTTTATGTTATTTGGTATGAAAGAATTCCGCATTGTTTGGTCACAACACTAGTTATGTCATTGAGCTGACAGCTGTCAAATCGATCTATTATTTTTCGTCGACTAATAATATACGAATATTACATGTGTAATTAAATTATAGTTTTACGATATTTTTAATGTTAGATAAATAATTTTAATTTTCTAATTGTTATGCTCAAATTTAATATTTTTCGTTACCGGAATAGGTCAGTTGTGTCTTCCATCAGTTACCGGTTACTCCAGTATTTACCAACTATATGTTAACATGTAAAATTAATTTAATTTATAATTAAAATGTATCATTTTTCTTATTCTTTTCTCTTCTTCCTCATATGGGAAGACAAAACAAGTTTAAATAATATATAAAAGTACAATATGTAGCAAACTTTTATAATTGTGAATTATTCTAAAGTGTGTACGTTTATCAATATTGTAAATACAAAGTGATATTATATTAAGATTAATTATAACATTTAATATAAGATGATGTACCTAAAAGAGATATGCCATTAAATGAAAATTTAACATGTATTTATTCGTTTTTTTTATTTAAGTCAGTTACGTAAATATCAAATTAAATATTAATTAATAGACCATCACTATTCTCTTTGAAAATAAACATCTCAAGAAGTTTAAAGATATTGATTTACAAATTTTAACGCTCTACAGTAACATCGCAACATTTGTAAAAAGACAGCGATTTAAATTAACCCTCATTCCAATCGATAACTAAACTTTTTAAAACATGCACATCACTATAATATGCTTAAATTCCGTAATTTGTGGAACATGTTTTTACATCCATCTTTTAGCGTTAATTATAAGAATTATACATTTTAGTTTCAATTTAAAACAAAATTTACACATTATGGATAGAAATATAAATTAGTGTCATGGCCGTTTTGTGCGTTTGTTTACAAACTTAACTATTAGCTTGGAATAAACTATAATTGATATCAATCTTTGTAGATCAAAATAACAGATAATGCTATCACTGATGTGTTAACGTCCAAGAACGCAACTACACAAATATAGTTTTGATAAACAATTATTTAAATCAAAGAAAAAATAATTTGACATCAACTAGTTCGAGAGAAATATCAGGCCAAAGAAATGAAATTAAAAAAAATTGTTCAGTGTAGAAAGGCAATTATCGAAAATTCAAGAAACAAGTTAACTACTTTCGTTTTCGGAATATGCAAAACGTCTTCATCCAGGACCACACAAGAGTTTCGAATTTTTAAATAATTCAATTTTCGTACATACCCTACAATCGGCTGTCCGTAATTGAGACCCTTCAGTGCAGTGTTTTTTTAACATGAAGACATTAAAAAGCAAAGCTTCGTCGGTGGTCGGTCTAATTCTTGAATGATTATAACAGTTTGTTTGCACTGCGCGCAGCTAATGGGGGGCTATTGAGGAGTTATTGTACGGACGCCGGCAATTTGCTACAATCAAGGTGCGTCGTCGTTTAATTATTTCCATGTGAGTTCCACCCGCCGTCGCTGGAGGTAGCGTTATTAATTCAGATTTCGGTTTCGTGATCAATTATTTATCTTTATTTTTGTTTTATCTAAATGATTAAATTTTACATACAAACTGTTAAAGATTTTTGTTAAAAACAGCGTACAGGTGACAACCTCCTTTTTTTTTAAATCGGTTTAAAATATGAAAGTACCAATTTTTTTGCGTTTATTAGCACATGACCTAAAAGTACATTTCTAAATTCGAAATTATATGAAACACTCATAAACAATGTAGCAGTTACTACATTATTAACCAACGATAAAAGTTTTTTTTATTATCTATCAGAAAATGGCGTCGTGTTATCGTATTCCATGTATGTATAGTATCTGGATTGTGAACTCGACCGTCTTTTACAAAGGTCGCTTGCTCCTCAGTATTCTTTTAACTTTTATTTCCGTCGTTCGTTTCCAGTCTGAGGCCAATTAATCAATGTTATGATGCGTGACAAGATGTAATGAGGGACCGATGTGCTTCGACTGCGGTTGGATGGACGTACGTATGTTATATGCATTTATACTTAACCTTATATAAACAGAAGTTAGAAGCTAATCATATCATAACTAATCTAATTTTATACTGAATGCTTTGTATTAACACTTATGAAGTTAATTCATTCGTTGCGTTAGTTACTTGTATTAGAATTTGGACTATTGAAGTTCATATGTTCATTGGCTCCTAGCAACTATAACGTAGAAAAAAACAAAACAATTGACTATTCAATGTTCATGTCTCGGCATTAATTCCGTCTGTCGATACGAATACGGTTGGCATCGAGCACACGAGCTTCGGTGGTCCGTCGTGTTTGGCAACAGTTTTTGTATGTCGACCGCCGTAGTTTCTGTTTGAAAGTTTGCAGCTTTGGTGGTCGTGATCTTAGATCCAACGTTTTGGCGTTTGACCACCTGCCTCGTCGTGTTAGTATCGATGTGAACTAACGTTTAGTTTTTTAAAGACATATGTGGTTGTTTTACCAAACCGTTATGTTAATTGGTACAGCTTCTCGTTTAGTTTCTGCTATAGCTAATTTAACAATTTTCTAATCATTACTTGACAATAATTTCATGAGTATTCGTATAAATAAAGGTTGCTTTCGAAGCAATTCTTCCTTTTCTAAAACAGATTAGTAATAAAACAGTACGCGTGTTTTCGCTTAATAAAAAATGTTGTTCTTTCAAGACTCCGCTTGCAAATAATCCCTTGTTTAACATTGATTATTTGGCACAGATGTTGTTTAGACAATATTGTGTCATAAAAAAATTGTAAGGTTCACCACCCACCGCGACTTGCGCACGTGTGCATCGTCTCAAATCACAATTTGACAAGCTATAGACACTTGTCCCTTGCTCTTGTATATTCAAATTTTTTTAATTAGTAAATTTTAGAATATACTACTTACAACACTGTTACCACAGTCGATATTAAATATATTTTATTCATAAAATGCATTTTTACAAACTAATTTATTGTGCAAATGAGTTGTGAGAAGTTGACCTTGAACTTTTATTTGATATATAATTTGTATTATAAAATAATAAATTTATATACGAAGGGAAATCAATAAAAGTCATTGCGACTGGATGTCTTACATGTCGGACATATCGACCGATACAAAGACAGGATCGATGATTCTCAATGAACATTAATCGTGCCAATTACGCCGTCTTTGGCCGCACATCGAAACACTGAAATCCTTTCAAAATTAATTGAATTGATTAACCAATTGAGTTTGGCGTAATTCAGTTTTTGTTCAACTTTTTATTGGAAATTATCGAAGCTTGATTGGTGCCCTTTAAAAGCGACACCTACCGGCGTGTATTGACTTTTATGGCGCCTGTCTGTCACCCGTTTTCCAATTTGTACGTGTGATTTATGTTTTTAAAATAACTAAGTCTTAAATCCAACCTCACATATTTTTTCATCTTAAACCACCAGAACGTTCCTAATTCAAATTCTTTTGCGTCATTTATTACGTATTATCTTCCTAAAAAAGGTTTAATGGTAAACTTTATAGCTCCATTATTTGTCTATTATTTTGCTTATCTTTTATTATTTAATCTGATTTTAATTCTTGCCTTTTGTTAACGTTTCTAATTTAAGATGTATGTTAAATCTTTATGTTACACTTTAAAATATAGTTGCATAAGTTGTTGTTTAGAAAACACGATTACTAAGACTTTGTTATTAATGGTTGCAACTTTATATTACTGTTAAAATAGTACTATTTTCAAAGACTACTGCCGACTAGGTCGATAAAAAAAAGAACGCAAATTATTATTGATTCATCATCTCCCCTGCCTTATCCTACTCCCGTAGGGTCGGCGCACCGGGTTTTCGTCCTCCAAAACATTCTATCATCCGTCATCTCAATCATCACTCCCTTCTTGATCATGTCACCTTTCACGCAATCCGTCCATCTCTTTCTAGGTCTACCTCTACCGATGTACCCCTCCACATTCATAACTAACATCCTTCTTGTTACATGCGATTCATCCCTTCTCATAACATGCCCATACCACTCTAACCTTTTACTCCTTAGTTTCTCAACCACTGGGGCTACTCTCAAACTTCCTCTAATAAACCCATTTCCTATTATTATTGATTAATAACCATATACTTACCTACTTAAAATTTGTGTTCTACATAATCAAGGCAGTATGCTGCGTGTTTATAGCATAGGTGGTACGACGCCTCCGTATAGAACGGCGACATTTTGATACATAATTACCTTCGTTGTTAATGCTCTTAAAATAAAACATACGGGAATTTTATCTGGCGGTAGTCGAAGTCGCCTCAAACTACGCACAATAATTATTCGCTATCCTATAATATAAAATAATGAAAACGGCGATGAAATTAAAGTTTTTATACGAGGCAGTGGCATCCGTGGCACTCTATCGGGCGAGTTGGGTACCGCGCGTGCACCAATTATCTGTGATGAAAAAACTTGATGCGCTTTACATTCTGCAGAAGTTGATTTAATGGACGTCAGCTATGTTACTTGCTCAGATTTTACGATTAAAATCGCAATTGGAATACAAAAAATTCTACATTATCTTAATTAAAATCTCAATTATCTCGATGTTCCTGAACAATCCGTTGTCAATTAGGGGTTATATCTATACTAGCTGTCGCACACGACTCCGTCCGAGTGGAATTAAAAAAAGTCAGTACCCTATGTGTTCTTCTAGACTATCCCATACATCTATACCAAATTTCATCGATATCTGTTCAGCAGTTTAGACTACAAACTCTAACAAACATCCATCTATCTAAACTTTCCCATTTTTAATACTAGTAAGATGGTATTACCTATAAAAGCATTTAATAATTGTCTAACTATAGTGAATACCTAACGTTAAACATACGTATTTTCGTACGTAACAAGCGTGTCTGTGAAAAGGACGGTCGCGTCACGACGACAGCGCAAGGTGACGGT